ACAATAACTAATTTATAATTATTTTACTCTGTAGGCTAATTTAGTAATAACTATTTGATCTAGACTTAATGTGTTTCGACCCGAGTGACCTAACGAAGTAGGCCATGGACATTGGACAGTCCTTTAATCCTATTAATTAAAACGCTTATATCTGGATATATATGTAGTTTATGGTGGAAAATTTTAGAAATCCAAGCTTATTAGTGAAAAATCACGATTTTGTCTACGAAATCAAATATTTAATAGCTGCTTTATATATAGCGATATCGTTAATAGAAAACGAAAATGCTAAATGAGAATGACTGAAGGTAAAAAAAATAAAAACCGACTTCAAACAAAAGCGCTAAAAAGTAAAAAATAACTGATTGGTAGTTTTCATTTACTATACATACCTAATCAAATATATTCGAAGTCGGTGTGCTTTGCTTTGTATGGGCTGGCACCGATTTCGAAAATATTTGATTAGGTATGTATTTAATAGGTAGGCTTTAATTACTTAGCCAAAGCACACCGACTTCGAAAATATTTGATTAGGTATGTATAGTAAATGAAAACTACCAATCAGTTATTTTTTACTTTTTGAGAACCTCCACCTTTTTGAAGTGGGTTGAAAAAATAGTTTTAACTAAGCAAACTTATGTAATTTAAATTATACTAAAAAGAAAATTGTTTGTATAATAAGTTTAATTTCACAATTTCTTCTTATTCTTTTCTTTTCGAAGAGCTTTGTCAGAAACTCGAACCCGCTATCTTAAAAGAAAGTTTGACCAAATACTGCACAGATTACTAAAGTTTCAAGCTATGTTTTTTTCCAACATAAGGCAGAAAGTCCATACGAATAACATAACATTGTATGTCCGTTTGTTAATTAGAGTTAATTGAAATGACCTGTTTCTGTCCGTACATCATTCCACTTCCTTATACTCTTTACATTGAACCAAATTGTAATGCGCTTTTTTATTACATATTATTTTATGAACAATTTTATATCACTACATATTATAAAACAAAGTCCTCCGCCGCTTCTGTCTGTCTATTCGCGATAAACTCAAAAACGACTGTACCTATTTTCATGCTGTTTTAACCAATGAATAGATTGGTTCTCCAGAAAGGTTTTAGTATATAATTTGTTAAGTTTTTGTATACATTGGTTTAAATATAACGATATTTATTGGAGGTGTCGGAAAAAAATAAGACGTCTGGGAGCTTTCAAAGAAAACACTGCCTAAAAACTTTGAGATATAACAAAATTATGTATGGTGAAATTGTGTATCTTATATAGGACTACAGAAAAGTCCGCGATATCATATGTCTATCTCTTAAGGATAAGTCTCGTTTTTCAGCATGTTCTTGGCTAAATTTTATGTTACAGACCGCCAGGGAGCGCTTCCGCAAAACGGTATTTTTTACTACTCAAGTAAAAATAAGCCAGTTTTTAATATTTTTTTAAGCTAAAATATTTACTTTATTCTAGAAAAGCACTTTATGGAACTTTAAAAAAATGTCCTTAAAGAATCTCTTTATTTTATAACGATAATATGAGTAATGCTTAATGAGATCACTTTTAGTGGAAAAATCAATAATAATCCAATGGTATGTTTCAAGGTTTTTGCGATAATTTAATGAAACTTTGCTTCTAAGTAATTGCTTTTAAGAATGTTAGTGCTATTATGTAATTACAGCGGTAGTGGATTATATATTAAATGGACCCAGTTATGCAAAAAACAGCCATGCGCGTAAAGTACCAACCTAGTTATAAGAATTTTATTATCAAAAATAAAATAATTATAAAAAATAAACAATACTTATATAAATATTGTTCAATTTTAAAATAACCAGAAAACAGAAACATAACCCAAGTGCAACTATCGACAGAAAAATGCTTATAACTCTGTTGGTACTTTTACGCACATGGCTGTTTTTTGCATAACTGGGTCCAAATAGATAACGATTAAAAGATAACGATAACGAATAAAAGATTTGCTAAAAAAAATTAATTATTTGTAAAGCCTAGATAAAAAGCTTTCGGCAATTAAAAAAAAATGAAAACGTATGTACATAATAACATTTAACAATCTCCATCTCTTATAGAAAACATCGATACAGATCGATACAGAGGCCGAATCTATAGTTTTTAGAATTTTTGTCTGTCTGTCTGTCTGAGAACGCATCGCGAGAAAACTACTGGACAGCTTTTGATGAAAATTGGTATGATGATAGCTGGTTATCCGGATCAACATATAGGATAGTATTTACTGGGGGAAAATATCTCATCTCTGAGAAATTTATACTACCCTTAAAACGTATAAAGAAATTTAAAAACATTTCTAAAGTATACTCTTCTGCCAGACTTTTAATACACAATAGACTAATGATAAATGGTTGTAAAATTCCAAAACCGACTTTTTAAACAGCCACAGGAACCAATTGTTAGATAATTTCAAAAACTAAACGAAAGTATCTCATTTACCCGTCAAAGACATTCAACCCAATCAGTATGCAACGTGGGACGGACCGACCGACACGCAGTCTTTCCTCACTGTCCATAATACAAGCTTATTTAAATGCAACACTCGCACTCATGAATATAACTACTTATTTCTCCTTGCTTCGTTTGTACTTACAATGTATTTATTAATTAGATTACATTGACTAGTTCTTCGTGAACTTTTGTAATATAATAATTTATAACATCCCATGAAAACTACATACATCTTATATATAAAATTTCCATGTCACAATGTTTGTTACCGTACTCCTCCGAAACGGCTTTACCGATTTTTACCAAATTTTATATGCGTATTCAGTAGGTCTGAGAATCAGCTACTATCTATTTTCCATACCCCTAAGTGATAAGGATAAGGGTGGTCCTTCCAGACCCCACCCCAGGGACGAACCCGAGCGGAGCGAGGGTGAGTCGCTAGTATAAGAAGTAGTGGGATAAAAACACTCTATAGGATAATCTGGAGTATAGACTACCGCTGTGCAAAAATTGCGTTCAAGCAAGCAGTAAAAGATAATTTAAAACACAGTATTCGTCTAGGTTCGAAATTGGACCATATATGCGTTGTTGAAAATTTGAAGAAAACATGTATATTAATAGAATTTACCTATCTATATAAGAGACTGTCTGTTTCCAAATATTTTGTATCAATAACACTAATGCTCCTCAATACCTACTAAACAAAAAATGGGTTGATTACCTACCAGAAAAGAAAAAGTACTAAACAGTTTTGTATTTGCCTATTTATATATAAAAAGAATTTCAGTCAAGTCCCTTCAAATTAAAGATCTATGTTAACCTTAAAATATCAAAATTCATATTAAACTGCCATATTGTAAGAAGTTTTTTTTTACTAGGGAAAATCTCTGAAAATTCTTATTTTAATTATTTTTTTTACTATAGGCATATAATTATTTTCATCAATGAACCACAGCCATCATGGTAAAATATTGCTAAAAATAAAAAAATAATATATATATATATATATATATATAGTCTCCTTTTTTGAAGTCGGTCAAGAGAACAAAAAACGCCTAAAGTTCCCAAAGTTCCTAAATCGATAAACATCTATTAAATCATAATATTTGTAAACATAAGAGGTATTTGAACCTGCGCTATATAAGGTTAAACTAAACAATGTATCAACAGGCTATCGGGAAGCAATTTTAGAATTATTACTCGTTTGAAAGACAAGAGTGGGGTCCAAGTTATAGGCTTTTTGCCACTATTCCACAAGGACATCACTTGCATAATAATAATATTTTGTTAGTCTTTATGTACATTTATTTTGTATATATAATTAAGTATACTGTAAATTATTTCCTTATCTATACATACTCGTATGATAAAATTTTAACTAAGTCGAATCTGTACATTAAATATTTTTTGGAAAATCTAATTGAAATAGACATTATTATCGATACAAAGTCCGAATCTGTAGTTTTTAGAATTTTTGTCTGTCTGTCTTTCTGTTACCGCATCACGAGAAAACCACTGGATAGATTTTGATGAAATTTGGTATAATGATAGCTGGTTATCCGGGTCAACATATAAGGTATTTTTACCGCGGGAAAATGTCTCATTTCTGAGAAAAAATACAAAAAATGCATTGTAAGAGTATACTAATATTATGTAAAACCTAAGAATTTGGTTTTTGGTCATTAGAACGCGGGCGGAGCCGCGGGCAATGCTAGTTGTAAAGAAAATTCGTAGTTATAGATGATATTTAGTTGAAAATATTTATTCAATATTGATTAAAATTTAAAAGTTTTTAATAATTATGCTAAGGTTCAAAAGCACGTAAATGTTGGAAATAACATGCGTATAGCAAACATGATATTGTTCTCCCTGACGTTTGTTAAAAAATGGATACGAAGGACTTATTATTATTATTATTATATAATTTTTAATAAAAAACGCTAGCTCTTATAACTTAGGTTGTTATAAAATATTTGCCTAAGCAATACAGAAGTCCTGGCTATTATATCAATGACTTTTAAGGCAATGGTCTATGCTAATGCGCATTCAGACTAACATGGAGTTAAGGATATATTAAATGCAAACATACAGACAATAGTACTAGATATGTGTAAACATTTCATTTAATGTTTACAGAAGATTTATTTGACCTGAAGTAAGCAGGAAATTTAGTTGAGATCATGCGATACGCTCTTTCAATGGTAAAAATAAAAAAAAATAGTACTAACTAATACTTGAAGAAATGTAACCAAAATTTTCCCAAAAGATACTCCAGGACGAACCTAAAAGAAACATTGTTCTAGAACTAGAAAAATTCGTATCGCGTTTGAAACCAAAAAATGACATTATGTCAGAAATACGAAAATTATAAAATATAGGTACCTATAAAAAAATAATCAGACCCAGTATATTTTAGCCTAGATACAGTAAAATAAATAAAACACAGTATCAAAAAACTACAAAATTTTATATATAACTAATAATTTTTAATGTTATTGTTACAGAAGCCCGGCATTCGATGAAACGTCGCGAGATTGAAGAAGACAATTATGACGATGTGTTAGCTGATGAAGGTACTGATGATGAAGCGCAGAACGATGCAGAAGGTAACATAAATCCTATAACAGTCTTACTTTATAAAGCTCTTAAACTGACTTACTGAGAAGATCGCAGAACTTCTAGAAATTCGAGAGCTTAAATAGGGGATGAAAGTTTATGTGAAAGCTCGTTGAAATGTTTATACTTTCGATTGAACATCATTAAGAACTCGCTTTTTGTTTATAAATTTAAGTTAATTATTTAGAAAAATAACAAAAGGAATCCAGAGGGTGATATGATGATGATAAGTGAAGGATAAGGGTCTTTTAAAGAGTACATATTAACATGCAATAAAAACAATTTCCTCCAAATTCTAAGTAAATAGTAGTCACACAGACAGAAGGAAAGCAATGCCTGTTCTATCATGCGCATATATAAGATATACATACATTATCAATCGTCCTGAAGTGGAAACCTGGTGTGTATATGTGCGTATAGTGTGTATATATAAACAAAGTCTGTATCCTGCCTTAATTAAAAAAAAATATCTTTAAGGAAACTAAAATTGTATAGAAAAAAATCACTTTCAGATTCTCTCAGCCTATTTTCCGGGGAACTTTTTTAACTCCTCTCCTTAAAAACTTATTCAAAGTATAAAATTTTAACATATTATTCAGCATTTTAAAATAAAAACCTATCTAATTTAGTCCAACTGATTTCAAGTAATCAAGTTAACTAACAAACAGTATTTAGTTTTATTATTATATAAAATTATTTATTTATTATATTTGCAGGTAACGATGCGGATGAAGACATGGTGGAAGCTGTGATAGTAACCAAGCCTTCCAACTACAATGTGACTGTTGGCCGAACTGTTAGACTGGAATGCAAAGTTTCACCTGATGGTAAGATTTATCTAATTTAGCAAAACCCAGAAATCTATCAGTAAATCTTATTGTCCAACTTCAAAAAGAGGCAGTAATTTTGGTTTGTTTATTTTTTATTATATATTTCGCAATATTTTCATTAGTTGTTTAGTAATTTTAAGGGTTTTGCTTTAAGAATAGTCTCGCAAATTCAATAATAAACTCTAACCTTAAGTGAAAAGTTTTATTTAAAGATTATTTATTACTAGCGTTGGCCTGGTGGTCGAATTCGACCATAATCCTTATCGAAGAAAATATTTATGAATAGAATTTACCCTATCTATACAAAAAAAAGCTGTTTTTAACTTTTTTTTGTTGACAACACTAAAGCTTGTCAATAGTTAATAAACAAAAAATTAGAAAAGTTAACAAAGGAGAAAGTGGTACTGAACTGTTTTGTCTTTGCCTATTTATATATAGATAGCATTTGTAATTGAAATCGTCATATTAAGAATTCAATTCAATTTACTTATAAATGCATATTGAGAAATTTTAGTTACTTTTGTACAGACGACATTACGTCTGTCATTATACTCCCGTTATCCGGAAGTATGAGCGCCACCGGAACTACATTATGATGTAATATTCAAATGCGCCTGCGCAGGTGTGACCATGTCACGGTCCCTAAACATTAATTCAAGTAAATAATCGTTTTAACGTAATTTTGACTATGAATAAAAATAAAATAAATTCAAAAACAAACCATGAGTGATGTGAGTATTGTATGCATGTTTGTTACTCTTTCACGCCAGAATGACTGAACGAATCTGGATGAAATTTGGCGCAGAGATAGATTATAGTCTGGAATAACACAAAGGCTACTTCTTATCCCGGAAAAATGTACGGTTCCCGTGGGATAGGTTTGTTTTTTTTTGCCAGAGGCGAACCCGAGCGAAGCGAGGTTGAGCCGCTAGTATGCAATATAAAACGCATAAAGTGCTGTTGAAAAGTAACATGGTTTGGTGGCTTCTGAAGTTTTACTTTGTGACCTGTACGACTTATAAAATATAGGTGTTTACGGATTATGTATACGGATTATATACGGATGCTTACGGTTTAATTGAGGAAGTATAAAATCCTACTACAATGTTTGATGAGGATATAAAAATTTGCTATCATTATAAATAATATTTATTATCTATTTAATAAAATTAAAGTGTCCCTTTGTATTGAATTAAGTGCCAACGTATTTAAAATTATACATGTTCAATTTAAATACGCACCAGGAAAAACTCCAAGTACAAACAAGACTAAACTTTATCACGATAGGCTTAGAGTTTAGGTGATAATTGATTACAAACATATTATAAAAAGTAACAAAACAAACTCATAAAAAATATCAATAACTGTATGTATTGTATTCTGCCTTTTTTAACATACCATACATATATTGACGACAGGTTTGGCTCAGTTGGTAGTGACCCTACTTGATGTGCCAGCGGTCGCGGGTTCGAGTCCCGCTGGGGGCATTCATTTGTGTGATGAGCACGAATGTTTGTACTCCAGTCATGGGTGTTTATATTTATAACATGTATGTATTTAAAGTTATATAGGTGTAGTGTATCAACTATCTGGTATCCATAACACAAGCCTCGTAGCTTACCATGGAACTAGATGGTGCTGTGTGTTAATGTCCCAACATATTTATTTATATTTATTACCGCTTCTGGACACGGACCTCCTTACAATAAGAGGGGGATCAGGGAATATGTCGTTCGAAAACTCGCTAGGTGCTCAAACATACAGGTGTTCTCACGATGTTTTCCTTCACCGTAAAACAAGTGGTAATCATGGTGGAAATGATTCTCACATGAGAATATTAGAGGTGGGAGGCCCGGGATTTGAACTCGCTTCACTCGTCTTCCCAAGCGAGCGCTTTACCACTGAACTATCACTATCTATATAAAAAATGTATATCATATTTTTTTGTTGTATTACAGAGAGTGTCGTAGTGCAGTGGTCTATTAATAACATCGGTCACTACATCGTGATGTCCAAACCTTTTGACTACAAGATTGATATGACGGGCGATAAATTAAGCGTGTAAGTATGAAAAAATACCTATTTTTTGTTATCACTATATATTATAAAATACTGTACGAAATTTTCTATGAAGGTATAGTATATGATAATGTTTTATATTAAGAAAGACAAAAAAATCCTTTGTGAAAGCTTCCATAAACCTCAGGATGGAAAAAGTGTATGGATTATGGAAGAAAATTACTCTATTATTATAGTTATCAAGTTTTCTTATATATAACTCAAAAGAAATAGTGTTGCTGTTATTTTTTTTAAGAAAAAACTTATCTGAATAGGTAATCGAAACAACTGATAATACAGTAAGAACCTTCACTATTTTATCGAATTAGCCGATAGTCTGTGGTACTTTTCTTCCATATTCCATCCATTTCTTTCACACTGTAAAGGGAGTTATGTAAATTTTAATATGTAAAATTCCCGTGTCACGATGTTGGTCCGCGATAAACTCCCAAAACTACTTATCCGATCTTAAAGTATTTTTTTTAAATGTGTGATTTGTTCCAACTTAAAAGACAGGATAGTTTTTATTTTATTATTTCCTTTTTGTATTCCAAAATTAACGATTTTCATATCCGGAGAGGGATACCGGGGAGAGAACCTGAGTAACGGCCACCCTAAGCTACAAATTCTACCCCCATAAAGCTAAAGAAAAAAAATATATAAATGTGCCACAGCAATGCGTGGCCGGCCACGAATCTTTCTAATATATTATATTCATACATACCTCAATACATACAATATTATTAAATATTTAATTACTGTTTACAGTCCCGCCAACTCAACAGATCTATTGATAACAGACGTTAAATCGTCGGACGGTGGCGCGTACAAATGTGAACTGATGCAAAACGGAAGACCTTCGATAGTACATAATTTGGCAGTTTTGGAATCTCCCAGGATTTCTAGTAAGTTTATCTATACATATAATAAAATTGTAACTAAGCCGAATCTGTACATTAAATATTTTTTGCGAAATCTTATTGAAATAGACATTATTATCGATACAGAGGCCAAACAATACAACATATAACTCATCTTTATGTCTTTAGCAGTAGAAACATAGGACTTTCAAACTTTAATTTCATACCATTAAGGTTTAATTTTCGTGACATAAAGGAGCATATATCCTTCTTCATGATCGGATATACATACCCCTTTACCAAAATTCATCAAAATTGGTTCAGCTGTTTAGACACCTAAACCGCTGAACCAATTTTGATGATGATCTTGAAAACGTAACGACAGACAGATATTTACTTTCACATGTATTATATTAGAAAAATAGTATAGATGTCAAATATTTACAAAAAATGTAACAAAGTATTAACTTTAGTAACTGTCAACGCACATGAGAAGTTCGTATACCCGTATGTGGCCGGTGTGCTGTATTATGGCTTTCTCCCCCTCGCTTTAGAAGAAGGCTCGTACCAAATTAAATGCTCGTGTAAAGAATATCTATACATATAATAAAATTCTAACTAAGCCGAATCTGTACATTAAATATTTTTTTTTGGAAAATCTTATTGAAATAAACATTATTATCGATACAGAGGCCGAATCTATAGTTTTTAGAATTTTTGTCTGTCTGTTTGTCTTTCGGTCTGTCTGTCTGTCTGTCTGTTACCGCATCACGGAAAAACCACTGGAGGGATTTTAATGAAATTTGGTATTTTGATAGCTGGTTATGCGGGTCAACATATAGGATACTTCTTATCGCGAGAAAATATCTCATTTCTGAAAAAAAATATACAAAAACTACAATGTAAGACTTTATTTATATGTAAAACTTAAGAATTTGGTTTTTGGTCATATGAGCGCGGGCGGAGCCGCGGGCAATGCTAGTAATATTATAAGACTGAAATATTATTATTTAAAATATGTGATTAAGGCAACATGTATGTATATTTTAACAGAGTTCCAAAGAAGAGGAGGTTATTTTATTATATGGTATCCATATACGAGCCGAATTAGGTAGCCGATATGGTTTATATGTATTTAAAAATGACTGCCTTGATGGTTTAATGGCTGGTATATGGCTGCAGATTCTTAGATCCTGAGTTCAATTCCCGGGTCGGACCAAGTTTAGTTATTGAGCTTTTCTGTCAAGAAATTCTCATAACGACCTGGAATTGGGAAGTTACCGGTGTTTCCAACCGCGCCTCGGAGAAAAAATAAAGCCGGACCTGCGGCTGATCTCTGATCGGTTAAATTATCGACCACTTGGGAGTTTGAGAGTGACACGAGTAGAGAGTGTATCTGAGTTTCTGCGCATACTCGTGCATATAAATGCCGAAATCGGTCACAAAGACATTATTCAACTATTTAACTTTAATATTTTATTATAATTTTCTTTCAGAATTCTCCGCGAACGACAATGGACAAGTAATAGAAGGCAGCGACCTACTACTGACTTGTGAAGTATCTGGATCACCACCACCAAAAATCGTCTTTTCCAAGGGTGCTGAGAATGGAGTAAGTATACATATAAAGGTATATAAAAATATATTATTACATTTCTGCGTATCTGAGAGAACCTAACTAGTCATGTAAAGTCAACCCGAACTTAGCCCGCGTGGTGGACTATGGTCTGATCCCCCTCGTATTGAAGAGAGGCACATCCCTAGCGGTGGGACGTTAAAAAGGGCTAAATACTGATATAATTATCGAAATCCCAAATTATATGGGATTCCTTACATATAGGAAGAGAATTCAAGCTTGAAGTGCTAGAAGCTAAATTTTTAAATTAACTTCTAAAAACTCAAAAAAAAAGTTGTATACAAAAAGTCTAAAAATAAAATAATAATTAAACATTAAAAAAATATATATCGAGAATTAAAAAAATAACATTAATCAATGTCAAAAAACGTCATGAGTTTATTTATTATGTAACTCTTAGCCTGTTATCCCAACGTCAAGTTCAAGTGATTTCCTCTAACAAACAAACATACATCAATTGTTTTGACATGTTGATATGTCACTTCAACCCAGTTAGAATGAGGAAACATGTATCGGAAACTTGGCGCCATGTTGTAAATTCATTTAGTAATTAATTATTTAGATATTCTATTTCCCCGTGGTTTTGCGGTTTTTTACTTTAATTTAAAGCCACTAATGGGTCAAATTTTAAAACTTAAATAGTTTAAATAAGTTTGTAAATGCACATTATAGTGTTATTCCTACCTAACTAACATTTGACCGCGGTTTCTCTCGCATAAAATATTTTCTCTACTTGAACATGTACCATGTGTACTTTCTACTTATGTATTGTGTATTGATAAAAAAAGAATGCAAAAGTTCTCTTAAAACTATCACCAATTGTCTTTAGGTAATTATTCTAGTTGAAATAAATATACAACAATGTAAATTGAACCTTAAATGCAATGCTTAAAGTTGTATTCACAATTTTTTTTAAATTAAATTCTCGCTCAAATGTTTAAATGAGCGCTCATTCAGTGAGGATATTTTTTTTCGCTGATTGTGTATCTAGTAACTTTTTGATCGATGGTATTGTGTGTATTTTTGTGACGATTACATGAACAGTAAAGAAATGGAAAAAATGAAGCGCTATCTAGTAACGAGTTTCAGTAAAATGGATCACAAAAGCTTTTCCCATAGACATGGAGAGAATGGACTGAGCGTTCCCTATCCAGCTGTAAAGTGAATGCGGGTAGGAAAGTGCAAGAGAGACGAAGCGATCGTGCGGCCAATAGTTGATATCACACGTTTCCATGTTAATATGTTATAGTTTAGTTATGTTGAATATTTTCTGTTTGTATGTTTTGTTATTAATATATTTAAATTGATTTATAAATACATTTTATGTCTAAATTCCTATATCACTTACTTACTTTATTTTTATATATAAAAGACATGTATTGGCCGCACGTTCGCTTTCTCTCTTTCTAGGGAATTTTCAATTTCATGAGAGTATTGATCAGTTCATTCTCTATGTTTTTGGCTTTTCAAATTTCAAAGCAATTAATTATTAAAGAATTGTAGACATCCGGTTTTACACAAACGAATATTTTTGTATTTCTTTATTTTAATATATTATATATAGATATAAATATATATTTCATTTTAATATATATTTATTTTTATATTTTTTATATATGAAAAATGTAATGGTATCACCAAAATCTACATCCATCCTTCTCACTCATTACAGAACGTGCGTTTGACAGAAAAGGACGGAGAGTTTTCACTAAACACAGTGGAGATTAAGAACGTGAAACGAGAACATTCCGGCAAATACTACTGTTACGCGTTCAATGGCGTCGGTACTCATCAGGCCGAAGTCGAAGTGGTGGTCAAAGGTTCGTGAATTAAAAACAAGTAATAGATATTGCATTTGTTCTAAAACCGACTTTATAAGAAAAAGGTCATATGTCTATGTGTTTGTCTGCTTGTTACATAATATTACCAAATTTACTCAATGTATTTTTTTAATTTGTTATTTTCAGAGGTAGTTACTTCAAATATAATGTTTAAATGTAAAGTTTAAGTGTAAAAAAAATATCAATCCCTTAGAATATAAGGATTATTTTTTTATATTATTGTGAAATCGCTTATATTTGTATAATAAAGAATACTTCTTTTAATAAAAAAGTAAAACTATAAATATTAATCAGTCATCCTAATTATAGTGTTAGTTTGGAAAATACACTTTTAAAGCAAATTTCATAATCCCATTTAAAAACAGCTGTTATTATCTACATTTTGCACAGTTTCAAAATCTCGATTTTTTCCAAAGTAATAATCCCTCAACGACCGTGGACACGCGGGCGTTACAGTTAACAATAGGTTTCTTAGAAATTTAATTAATTTCTTAGAAATTTACCTGGAGATGTTAAAACATCATCGATTTCGTTTATCTCTTTTTCTTTATACATTAATGATATAAAAATATCCATTTTAAATAATTACCTAAATCACAGGTAAGCCCCACGTGCACGTGCACAGGACTGTTGTTAACTCAGCTATCAACATGGAAGCTGTGTTGCAGTGCGCCGTACACGATGAACCTGAGTGAGTTTCTTACATTAAAATAATACATTCTTATACTTACATGAATATTGACATCTATCTATACATATAATAAAATTATGAGTCGAATCTGTGCGTTAAATATTTTGTGGGAATTCTTATTGAATTAATCATTATTATCGATACAGAGGCCGAATTTAGTTTATAGAATTTTTGTCTATCTGTCTGTCTGCGAATGCATCACGAAAAAATCACTGGACAGATTTTGAGGAAATTTGGTATGATGATAACTGATTATCCGGGTCAACATATAGGATGCTTTTTACTGCGGGAATCTGTACTAACTGTTAAAACGTTTTTAAATAAATCTATGTTTTACAGATTTTATGGATTTATTTTGATTAGTTATCAACGTTTCGAATGGTTTACAGCAATCATAGTCACAAAAGAATTAACTTAGGGAATAGAAAATTAGAATATATCCGTGGAGAAATAAAAAAAAACTATTTTCGTTCTACTTTTACATAATTGTATAATATATATACATATATATAAACTATTTATATATCCGTTACTCATATGTATATATAAAACAAAAACCACTTGTGTGCCGTTCACAGCGCTCACATCCGCTGGTACAAAGACGGACAGTTGATATCGAGCGCGTCGCGGCAGTACGTGGTCAGTACCAGCGGGCAGCACTCCAACCTGACCGTCACGCCCGCTGTGGACGAGGACTTCGGGACTTTCACTTGTGAGGTGAGTTTCATCTATACTAATATTATAAAGATGTAAAGTTTGTGAGTTTGTGACATTGTAGGGGGTAATCTCTGGATCTACTGAACCGATTTAAATGAAATTTGGTAAGAAGATAGTTTGAGACTTTGGGAAGGATATAGGATACTTTTTATCTTGGAAATCATCCATTAAGGGGGTGAAAATGGGGATGAAAGTTTGTATGGGGAATCAACCTAGGGACGAACCCGAGCGAAGCGAGGGTGAGTCGCTAGTCTATACATATGACTTCGAAAATATCTGATTAGGTATCTATTCTAAATGGAAACCCCCGTTTAGTTATTTTTTACATTTTAGTGCCTGGAAGTCGGTTTTTATTTTTTGAAGTTTTTATAGTATTATATTAATTATGGATTCCGATTTAACAAGCACAATCAAATTTGTTTCAGGCTGAAAACGAGCAAGGCAAACATAACCGGTCTATTGAACTAGTTCAAAGACCAGTTGTTGAAAATTTAGAAGCAGAAGGAACAAAACTATCTTGGACAGTTCACTCTCATCAACCTCTACAAGAGATTGAGATCCAAATAAGAGAACTTACTGGGGTAAGTTACATGAACAATATCTCTTTTTTGACTCATTCTCTTCTTCCTTTTTTAATGTTGAAGGTTGTAAGTTTGATGTTCTTATTTGTATGGACCATACACGTTTAAAAAATTAATAATAAAATTTTCTATGTATTAAAAATTAATTATTACTTTATGTTAATACATCGAGTTAAGTTAGTAAAGTCTGCCCGCACTTGGTGAGCGTGGTGGGCTCTGGCCTGATCTCTTCGAATTGAAGCCCACCCCCAGCAGTGGGACGTTAAAAAGGGCTGAATACAATAGAATTAAAAACCTAGATTTTGAGAGTTTGGATGTCGATGTTAACTTTAGAACTACTACAATTTAGAAAATGATTTTAATACTTCTTTTTAAAATATTATAGGAGTTCTCAGAACAGATGATTTCAAATTTAATACACATACATATATTATTATACCAGTAGCTTATTTTCATAATTTATACAGATATGTACATAAAAATGAATTTCTGTTTGTAATGTCAAAATAACAGTTTTTTACTAAATGCATATGAAAGTATATATAATATAAGGTACAAATAAGAAAAACAATTTCTAACTTTTTTTGTCTGTATGTCTGTTTGTTCCGGCTAATCTCCGAAATTGCTAGACCGATATTGACGGGGCTTTCACTGGTAGATAGCTGATGTTATAAGGAGTAACTTAGGCTACTATTATTTTAGAAAAAGATTCAGGGTTCCGCGCACAAAAATTAGAACCCATGAAATTAGGAACAAAATCATTCATCAACGAGTCGTCAGTATGCTCATATACCTATTAGTTTTCTTAAAAAAAATTTAGTTCATAACTAGAAAATCAAAACTGAAATCTCAAATCTTTATCATTAATAAATTGTTATTTATATATACATAGGCAGGCGAATGGTATGCAATTCAAGTGCCTGTACCAAAAGAGAGGCAACACGAGTACAACCTAAGTTACGCGCTCGATATCGACAACGGTAAATATGAAGCGACCGTTAAAGTGAAGAACGATAAGAGTTGGAGTGAACACAGCAATACTATCGTAGTGGATATTGGTGAGATATTATTATTAATTAATTGTATATAATTATCAGATTTTTTTAGATTTATACGAATGTTTGATGTTTTAAATGAAGCTTATTTTTTTCTAAAGCATTCGGAACATCAGAAATAAATAATAAAAAATATCCGAAAAATGGTTTTATTTTAAATATCTGTACATAATTAAATCGTAGAAATAGTTTGTTTTTCTTTTTTGTTTTTGTTTTTTTTTAGTTGTATGTAATTGTAGTGCAAACGATTGCATAGATTTTAAAAGCGCTTCATGAAAACTTAAAAAATTTAAGCTTAAATTAAATTTTAAGAAAAATCATATTAATACTATGGTGAAACTACTGTGTCATTTGTATATAATTAGAAATGTATTAGTGAAAGCTATATTTATAAATGCACTTTAACCGACTTCAAAAAAGGAGGTTTTGTTTTAATAACGATCCCGAAATGTAAATTTTTCAATAATTTGGGTGTAGGATTATTTTTTTTCATGAAATGTTAAACACTTTCATTTGACAATTTTTGTTTTCATTAAGCATAATTTTGTAAATTATTTTCTCCTGCATGTTTTTAATTTTTTATTTTTATTTTGCTTTTTTTGTAGAAGTAGAACCACAGTTGATCCAGCACGCCTCAGGTAAGAATAAAAAAAACACATTTTGTTTTGTTTGTTAAAGCATTTATTTTTATATTTTTTTTATAAAACTGTATATAAATTAACTTATAGAATAAAATAAGAATATTATAATTTTTATGGTATTAAGTGTAATTTAGAAGTAATATATTTTTATTCTATTCCATAATAATTATTATAAAAAAAATGAAAAACATAACTTTTGAACAACAACAAAAAATACAAAAAACATATTTTTGTACTGTTTGTTGATGAACAAACAAACACAAAATAATATTTTTAATTATTAATAACTAAAACAATTTTTTCTATTTCCAGTGTACCGAGCTAGCGCCCATTCCTTCGTATCGTCTTCACTTACTATTTTAACGGCACTCATTTACGTTTTCGTGCGAATGTAAATTAAATAGCCTAATTATTTATTATTAGTAACAAGTGTAAGACATTTTATTATTCACCGCTTATTGATGTATAAATGTTGGTAATTATACATTTAAAAATTCAAAAAATTGCATTTCTCATACACCTTAGAGGCTTTTCGACGTTAGTATTAAATTTAAAGAAGTACAAACTCCTTCAAAAGACGTTACGAAGCCAAGTTACTTAAACCAACATTATTTTTCGATTAAAATTACTAACTGATTTATAAAATATTATCTGTATTTAATTATTTTATTGTAAATATTATACAATTATTTTTTAAATAAATTAATCGAAAAATTGAATAAGTTCGTTTATTAATGAAACAATTGTATGTCCTTTTTATGTAAGCTTTCTCACAGTAATTTAGTTTTATGTATTAAAAATATAGGTAATTATTACCAAAGTGTAAGTTTAATTGCATTAAGTGTTTATGTTTATTTTCCGTTTTTTCATAATTAATTGATTAATTAATGCTTTTATTATTTAAAACTCCCGGTTGATTACGGACACTGATTAATTTAGTATTTTTTTAATCAATTGTTAACTATACTAATACCAGTAAAGCCTAGTTATAAATAATGTGCCTAATGATACAATAGTTCCAAAAGGTGCTAAACCTTTTTTAACGTAATCGTAATCTTCCAATAACAATGTATTTTAATAGATAAAAGTTATTGCACTTTCAAGAGACTTTGTGAAATATTAAACAATGTAATACTTATGTACATATATATATATATATATATATATATATATATATATATATATATATATATATATATATTATTTATTTTATTGGGCGTGGTGCCGAGGTCGGCCCTAGCTACGTCGACCAGTTATGGTCCATTGTAGCTGTACATATATATAACTGTAATAAATAAAATAAACCAATTTTTTTTATAAAAAAAAATCTTTCTTGTATTCCTTTATTAAATGTATAGATACAGATAATAACGTTTATTTTACTTTTTTATAGCAAATTAAAAATAAACAAAGATTTTTGATGGTACAATAACTAAATTATTACCAGCTAGTCTTTAATATTAAAATCGCTTTTAAATAGTAAGTGAATCGTTTAAGAATCATATATTACATTGCTTTTTATAGACATTATATGTCATTGTATGTCTTAACAGAGATTATAACAAGGACAGTACAATTAATTTAAAAAATATCATGGGTTAATGGTTTGATATATGTATGTAATTTTTCATTTTTTTACAGATAATTAAATTACAAAATTAAAAAAAATATCGTCTATATTTTTATAATGGCAGCATTTTTATTATTTAATTAATATATTTAAATTCTTTTTTTATTAATCGTAATATAATGCTTTATAATGAAAATTATTTTTTAATTAGTATTACACGTGTACCATTAGCCTATGATTTATTTGTATAGTTTTAATGTTACTAAAATGTAGAGAAAATTTAATTGAAAAATGATATGAAAATTCTGATATAACTAAGTCCTATTTAATGAAGAATTATAGTGTGAAATAAGCTTTACAAATAGTTTCAATTCCTTTCATTGTAATATTCAACATTCAATTACGACGGAATAATATTTTATTTAACAATTAATCAATAATTGTAATAAATAAATTAATTATTTCATCAAATCATATTAATTTATTCTCACTGTCATGAAATTACAGAATCATTAATATAATTACAATTGTAATATGTAATGTATTCCGTAATAATTGTAATACTCCGTGTAATTCTGTAATTTATGGTTATTTACATACTAGCTGTTTGTGCCTTCTAAGGATACAGAAGGTGATATTTTTGGTCTTAAATAAACGATTAATGTTTGTAAATAATTATACACATACAATTTGTTTTATTTATTCCTCGTGCATTAGATAATAATAATTAATATGTAGGTATATTCAAGATAAACAAAAATTGTAATTTTTGGTTGCCATAATTTTTCAAACAATTTTATTAAATATTATGAATGCAAAAACATGTTTATATGTCTGTTTGTTTGTTAAAACCACAAATTATTCTAGTACAGGTGACCATCACATAATAAAAAGTTGGACAATGGACTGTCTTTTTCGGGCTATTTTTTCTTAGAGATTTTTCTTAATACGTTAAATTCAATTTGCATTCAATAAAGCAAAATAGTAACAACTCATAGAATCTAAACAGATCCCTCTATAAACTTATTAATTACTAAGTGGCGATTTTGAAATCATTAGAGAAGTTACAAAAAATGAATTTAGGATCGCATTGTTTCATTTTCCTACAATATAATAGAAATCAGAATATACCTTTTTTGGCGGTACTTCTTTATTGTGTTAAACTAACATTAAGAACAAATTAATACATGCAACGCTATCTATTGACGTTATTATATCATATATATATATATATTATAGTCAATTCCATTTAATACTGTAATGTACCTACACCGCACTAAATTAACTTATTTTCTCACTTGTGAAGGGTTTCTGGAAGAAATCTCTTAAAGAGATCCTTTGTCGACATTTTGTTAATTTATATTGTATAATATATATTTTATGGTACATAAATAAATGAATAAATAATTGAGTTAATTTTTGTTGCGTCTGATGGGATCCTATGGCTTAAACACTTACGGCCTACCTATCTATCACAAAGATATTTTTACTGCGAATACGGACTTATTTATACTTATTTGGATACATTTTGTTTAAAAAAAATACTACTTTCTCACAGTTTCGGTTTTTCTAATTTTTCTTTCTTTCATTTTGCACGGATAAAGCGCTAGCAATTATAGATGAAAAAGTATCAAAAAAGTTTTTATGTGTGAAAGTTCTTCTAATGTCACTAAAAGTCTATCAGTACATAAAATAAATAAGTCTATATCATTTTTTATATTGAAAAAGAAAATTTTAGTTAGATATTATTAGCACGTAATACCAAAAAAAAAATGGTGCGAGCACCGGTAAGTGTTGCAAAATATTTTCAGTAGATACTTAATATGTATAAGAAAAAGCTATATAGTGGATAGATAATTTATAGTTACTTTATGTGGGGAAAGAATAATATGTATGTTTGATGAGTAACAAAAATATTATGTATTATACTAGGGGCGCACCATTGCTTCGCTGGGATTCGTCTCTCATAAAAAACAAAAACAACTCTGTACTAGGGAAACCGTGCGTTTTCCGGGATAAAAAACCTTTGTGCTATTCCAGACTATAATCTATATCTGTACCAAATTTCATCCAGATCCGTTCAGTCGTTCTGACGTAATTAAGCAACAAACATACATCCATCCAAACTTTCTTATTTATATCTTAATTTTATGCTGCAACATTTTTATTTTGTACGGCATCGTATTGTTACAAAAGGATCATCTAATTAATATGGATGTTAGCAAATCTTGTTGTTACATTCTTTACTAGCGACTCACCTTCGCTTCTATCTATTATATTTAATCTATCCCACGGGAACCGTACATTTTTCGGGATGACAACCTATAGTCTTCCTCAGTAAACGGATTATCTAATATAAAAATATTTTTTTCAAAACGGATTATTCGTTCTTGAGATTAGCGTGATCAAACAAACATACAAACACAAACAAACAAACACTACCTCTTTATGATATTAGTATAGATACAAGTTTTATTGAAATCCAAGTAGAAATTTTGCAACACTATTTGATACTTTATACTAAGGTATATAATATCGTATATAGAGAGTAATAATAAAATATTGTCCTTTCAGAACAGAAAATTTAGTGAGGTAATCAAATCTTATATAACTATATCATATTATAAAGTTTGTATTAAAATTAAGTATAATAGCATAAAAAACTTAAAATATTTGTTAATATTTAGTGAGTGATCGAAATATTAAGCTTTTTTTTACATTAAATGTAGGTAGATCTGAGCTTTCTTTATTTATGTTCAATCTATATATAAATCACGACTCGTTTGGCTCAGTTAGTGACCCTACTTGCTGCGCCAGCGGTCGCGGGTTCGAGTCCGCTGGGGGCATTCATTTGTGTGCTGAGCACGAATGTTTGCACTCCAGTCAAGGGTGTTTATATTTATAATATGTATGTATTTAAAAGTTATATATGTGTAGTGTATCAACTATCTGGTATCCATAACACAAGCCTCGTAGCTTACCATGGAACTAGATGGTGTTGTGTGTTAATATCCTGACATAAAAAAAATAGGCAAAGACAAAACAATTCAGTACCTTTTTCTCCTCTGTTTGTCAACAGATTTTCTTTTTTCTTGTTTGATAGCTTTAGTGTTATGAATTATAAACATTTTGCAAACCGTTAGTTTTTTTTATATATAGATAGGTAAATGCCACCTAAATATTGATACTAGAAATACGGGCTCTGGCGATGGGAAAACGAAATTTAATTTAGGGGCTAGTTTAGGGGAACTTTTAAGCTAGGGATCCCATACGTAGGTGGTAGCTTAAGGGATGTTGGTGAAATCAGGCATTAGTCACTGATTACGTTTTAACTTTTAGTGTAGATTTCTCAGAGACGAGATATTTTCCCGCAGTAAAAAGTATCCTATATGTTGACCCGGATATCAAAATCTGTCCAGTGGTTTTCTCGTGATGCGTTCCCAGACAGACAGACAGTCAGACAAAAATTCAAAACTATAGATTCGGCCTCTGTATCGATAATAATGTCTATTTCAATAAGATTTTACAAAAAATATTTAATGTACAGATTCGACTCAGAATTTTATTACAAGTATAGATTGTCATAAATTATAAATAACGTAAATTAATTTGTCTTGATAATTATATTGCATACTGTAATCTTAATTAAAAGTATCTTAATATATATTTTTCATAGAGTACAAGTTTTGTTACAACACGAGACAACCTTCAAATAAATGAAGTAAGTTTTATTTTATTTTATTTACTAACTAGAGATTTTCTCGTATTTTTTCACGGATTTATTTTGATTTTTGGTTCCCGACGTTTCGAATGCTTTACAGCAATCATGGTCACGGGAGAGACTGAGGTTTTAGATGTCTCAAAGGTATTTTATAGTTGTTACAGACAGCCTACCCACAAATAAAATGAATTCAAAAAGTTGAAAAATGGCACCATAAGAAAAGATAGTTTTATTTAAAATGTCAAATATTCGCGTAAATCTAAAAAAGTATTATACTAATATACATACTAGAGACTTAATAACTAGTGACTAAGAGCTTTTGCAGTTATAATATGTAGTACCTTTGTTAACGTTGGGAAATTAGTAAGTCCGTTTTTAAATTTTATTAAAAACTTGACTTTTTTTCGCTTTGCTTTGGTCCACCAAGCCTTTTGTGATTTGATACAAAAACATCGAGTTTTCTTTATAATATAATAAGAATGTTTGTGTCCGTCTTTTGACAAACTGACTGACTGACAATAAATATTACATGTAGTAATTCATTTGTTCTGGTCTATCTACTCCTGTGGAGATCTATCTGTGTTCTAAATTTCATCTTAATTTGTCCAGCCGATAATTGAAGCGTGAAGAAATAACAAACAAACATATATTGTGTTTATGTTTATAATAGGCTTAGCATAGATTTTTCAGAGATGAGACATTTTCCAGCAGTAAAAAGTATTCTTTATGTTAACCCGGATAACCAAATATCATCACAATCTGTCCAATGGTTTTCTCGTGATGCGGTTCCAGACAGACAGATAAAAATTCTAAGAACTATAGATTCGGCCTCTGTATCGATAATAATGACTATTTCAATAAGATTTTCCAAAAAATATGTAATGTTCGAATTCGACTTAGTTAGAATTTTATTATATGTATAGATAGATAATTTGATAATTATAGATATTAAAGTAAATAAAATTTTAAAGAGCGACGAAAACAGAAATCTTGTAAGATATCGTGGTCACCACAAGTTTGAGATCAAGGCGACAGGCAATGAAGCGAAATCTTACGACTTTTTAAGCGCACGGCCTCCTGGAAAAAGAACTAAGTACATTCTATTCTTCTTTTAACTTGACGGAAAGTCTCTTTTTTGGTCTAGTAGCTACAGTGCTGGATTTATACTAGGGGCGCTCGGGGCTAGTGCCTAGGGCGGCAATTTTTTGAAAAAATCATACCATATATAAATTATTTTTTTATATTTTTCAAAACATTAATAATGAAAAAATGTAAACTTTCAACATTTAGTTTAAAATTTCGATAATAGGGCGGCATTCTTTATAGTGCCCAGGGGCGGCGCTAAGGTTAAATCCGGCACTGAGTAGCTAACAAGTGTATTCAGCCCTTTTTAACGTCCCACTGCTGGGCGTGGGTCTCCCTCCAAGACGAGAGAAATCAGGCCATAGTCCATCACGCTGGCCAAGTACGAGCGAACTTCACATGTCTTTCGAAAACTTGTTAAGTTCTCTCAGACATGCAGGTTTCCTCGCGATGTTTTCCTTCACCGTAAGACAAGTGGTAATCATGTTGTAAATGATTCGCGAGTAGATATTATGTGCAACTGCTGATCCAGAGATCCTGGGTTCAAATCTCAGTTTAGAATGAGATTTAGCACAGTTATTGGGTTTTTCTGTCAAGATATTCTTAGTAACAGCCCGGAGTTGAGAAGTTGGTGGTGTTTCGTAACTTGGAAAGTACTTTATGAGATTGACCTTTGTGGTCGGTATTGATCAGGAGGACTTTACAAATAAATAAAAAAATATGTTTTTTTTTTTAATTAAAAAGTTTAATGCAGACCATATTTCAAACTTTTAATGTATGTATTTCACAGTGTAATAGAGTCCATCGGTCATTTAGTGAAGAGTTGTCTCGGAGGAGGGGTGATGGCTATACACGAGTCGTACAAACATTGTGGCCTGTGGACATCTGTCGTCTTGACCATTTTACTCGGCATGTTTGTCAGTTACTGTATGCTAGTAAGAGAATCTTATTTTTTTAACTTCTATAATATCAATTCTATTATAAATTAAAATTATAGACAAGAATAAATAACATGGAATCAATAAAGAAACAAAATGGATTTCATTATTATTAGAGGAAATTTGTATAAAAATCCCTTAAAATATGAATTTAGCGGTTTTCCTGTGATATGTTAACAGATAGATAAAGATAAATACTGATTATTTATTAATAGTTCATTAGTACCAAATACCTTTACCTAATTATTTTTGTATATATGTAACTAGCGACTCACCCTCGCTTCAGGTACGTTTTAACGGTTAGTGTATGAAATACAAATCTTTGAATTTCTCAGCTTTTCTGTACCATAATACCATACCATACCACATTACCATATACCATACCATATTATGCATATAAACCTTCCTCTTGAATCACTCTATCTATTGCTGAAAACTGCATTAAAATCCGTTGAGTAGTTTAAGAGATCTAAGAGAACAGACAACGGAAGCGACTTCATTTTATACTATGTAAAGATGTTCAATCTCTTAAAATCATGCATTGGCCATCTAAGCCCGATGTTATATTATGGCTTTTTATTTATTTTTTAAATACACCTATTTCACAAATATAGATTATAAAATATACTTAAAACATTCTCAAGGCTTGACATAACCATTAAGAAAAAAATAAAATCATTATAATCGATTCAAAAGAATCAAAGTTATGGTAGACCATGCGCACAAAAAATTGCTTTGGTAAAATACACCTACATAGTATTTTTTAAATATAATATTACAGATTTTGGCTCAATCAGCTCAAAAAATTTATGGTAGAGTGCAAGTACCCGCCATGTCATACCCAGATTTAGCTGAAGCAGCTTTGGAAACCGGGCCATTTACTAGTCTTAGAAAATATAGCAAATGTTTTAGGTGAGACTAAAATAATAAGTATAATTGTATTCAGCCCTTCTTAACGTCCCACTGTTGAGCACGGGCCTCCCTTCAATATGAGGGGGGATCAGGCCATAGTCCACCACGCTGGCCAAGCGCGGGTTGGCAGACTTCACATGTCTTTCGAAAACTTGCTAGGTTCTCTCAGACATGCAGGTTTCCTCACGATGTTTTCCTTCACCGTAAGGCAAGTGGTAATCATGCAATAAATGATTCGCACATGAAAATATCAGAGGTGTGAGACCCGGGATTTCAACCCACTTCACTCGGTTACCCAAGCAAGCGCGTCACCACTGGGCTACCACTGCCTAAATAATAAGTATAATTATAAATTGAAAATTTAAAAAAAACCCTACGCAAATGAATTGTCATTTAACGATTATACTGACACGCGTGAAGCACATAATCGAGTAACCATACGCCAAAATGTCTTAACATCATTTTGGAAAAGAGCTGATACTCATACAACTTCTTTGGCAAATATCGCAATTAAATTAAAACAAGTCAATAATTAAATAAGGCATATTAGGCACATTACAATCGTATATTTACAGAATATAATATACGGAAAGAATATAATATTATATATTTTTCAGACAACAACAGCGGTTACCATGACAACATGGCAATGTATTCTATCTCATTTTCTCGCCGGCTTAATCCTATATATTTATGTGTTTGTCTCTTTTTATTGTCGCAGAACTCCATCGCGTTTCAAATAATAACGATTCTAAAGAAGTTCTACTTCAATTTGTTTTTAACCCGAATTATGTATCTCCTTTTCAAATTCAATCATGGAAATAACTGAGCAAACTCCTACAGATACGCTGTAGATTTCACAATTTGCGTGGACCTGTTCGGGTCGTGTTGCGTCTACCAAATCATGATCTCCCGCACCATAAAGCAACTGGTGGAAGGTACAAACGAAATATCTTCAGAAGGCACCCCCCCTTTGCGAGTGTACGTCGCGTGCTTAGTGATTCCTTGCGTTCTCATTTGTATGATTACTACGTTGAAATATCTTGCTCCTTTTTCTATAGTTGCTGATGTTTTTATAGGTAAGTATTTTTTTAAATATTCAAGCAAGATATCGTTAGGATTTAAAACAATATTTAAAATGATCATCGTCCTGTAGAACAAAATTGATAAACTATGTCTTTTTATATGCTAGAAGCTGCATGCTTGAAAAAACTTCATCGTAATCGGTGTAGCTATATTAATGTGGAAACATGAAAGAGATAAAGCGATAAAACAACATACACATTTTCTCTTTAGATATTATTATGATATAGTCGTGAAGATCAGCACTAGTAAAATTTTGTCGTTTTTTTTTGTATTATTCATACATTTTAAGTTTTTTAGTGACTTGTGCGGGAGCAACAATTTACTACGCAGTGAAAACGGCGACAATCTCACCTGTGGATTTCCCAGTATTCAAAACTGTGCCAGGTCTATTCGAGTTTATGGGGGTTTGCGTGTTCAGTATGGAAGGCGTTGGTGTCACGCTGGCTATTGAAAATTCTATGGCAGAACCAAAGAAAATACCCATAGTGCTGGTGGGAGGTAAAGTTGCTGATCTTTAATCATCTGTGATTATCAGATAAAACTGGTTCATAAATCAACCACATGACCTAAAAGCCATAAAACTAAACAATGAGTTCATTATTATTTTTAAATGTCCTACTTTGTTATAAATAAATCATCGCAGTAAAATCAAATTAGACAATCTATAGAAAATTTAGATTTATACAGTCTATATATTTTTAAAACAAACGTAAACTTTATAATTACTTAATTTATCTATATGTGATGTACCTGCGTTTGAATAATGTCAAGAAAGCTTTTGAAGAGCAGTTTTGTGTTCTGCTGAATTGCAGTGTTGACACTTAAGGCGAATACAAATATAAATATGTTGGAACATTAACACACAGAACCATCTAGTTCCATTGTAAGCTACGAGGCTTGGGTTATAGATACCAGATAGTTAAGACACTAGACGTATTTAACTTTAAATATGTACACATATTATAAATATAAACAGCCATGACTGGAGTACAAACATTCGTGCTCATCACACAAATGGATGCCCGCAGCGGTACTTGAACCCGCAACCGCTGGCGCAGCAAGTAGGGTCACTAAAAACTGAGCCAAACGTGTCGTCAGAGATGAGCATCATAACAATATTTATACATTGTCCATAAAATCTTCCTTTCCAGAATCCAATACGTTATCTCTATTTTATATTATCTCTTAAAAACACGATGGCATTATCCTTAATTTTAATTAAAGCTCGTTTCAGGAATGTCAATTGTTGTCAGTATTGTGTTGACTGTCGGTTTCTTTGGTTACTGGGGTTTCGGAGAAAAATCAAAGTCACCAGTCACTCTAAACTTCCCTTTGGAGCCGTAAGTTACTAAAATCTTAGGCATAGTTTTACCAAGTAAATTGACTTAACTAAGAATAATGTTTTAATCAAAAAGGTACAGGCAAACTTTAAAGGTATTTATATTACACCAACACCACCCGGTAGAAATAACGTATTCTTTAAAAATGCATCATCAGAATATATATATATATTTATATATATATATATATATATATATATATATATATATATATATATATATATATATATATATATTATATATATATTATCTAAAATATCGCATATCATATTTAAAATGGATTAAACTGATAACCCTAATATATGATAATAATAAAGCATTGTATATATATAACACCTTAAAAGTCATCAAAAATAATATGTTTTAAATATTATGTTTCATTTCCCTTTCCAGATTCCCGATAGCGTTAAAAGTCCTGATGGCATTTATGATCTACGTGACGTTTGCTCTCAACTTCTGGGTGCCTTTCGATTTAGTCTGGTTCTACATTAAACAACGATATGACGCATCCAAATATTGGTTGTGGGAAAGAGTTTATAGAGCTATTTTCGTGATCATCATCACCATAATCGCTGTTATTTTTCCAGCTGTTACCAAGTTTATTGGTCTGGTAAAATTCATATTCTTTTTTATATTTAAACTGGCGACTCACACTCGCTTCGCTCTGAATTGTCCCTAGGTTGTTTCCCGATACAACATTTCAACCCCTTTTTAACCACCTTCATGGATGATTTCCGGGATAATAACTATCTTATGTTCTTCCCAGAGTCTCAAACTATCTTTTTATCAAATTTAATCTTAATCGGTTCAGTAGTTTCCGAGCTCATTCGGTACAAACAAACACACAAAATAACAAACAAAAAATCTTTCCTCTTATAATATTAGATTGTAATATCACGTTCATTTGTTTTGGGTGTTTCGTCATAGTCAATAATCCCGTAGTAATATTTTTAAAATGTTTCCCCAAATAAGTAGGGGTGAAAAAGGATAGCAATATGTATGAGTAGCAACATCAGTCTGAATTAACATTACCTGACTGACTAAATACTGATTCCTAGAATTACTAGTTTTAGCAAGTCAAAATTTATCATCAGCTAATTTTTTAAACAAGTATACAATGTGGCTTTATTAGGTCTTACCAAATACATATATCAGATATTCAGACAGAGATAAGCGTTCATGGGCTTTATAAGTAAGAGCAACCTAAGCCCCTACATCTTAGATAAAACTGTCTAAACCCATGATCGCTATAAAGCATTCGAACACCGGAAATCAAATAACAAATTAAATCTGCGAAAAAAAATGCAAATATAGTTCTATTTAAAAGTCAAATATTTGCGTAAATCTAAAAAAGTGTTATCTAAACCTACATCTTCACAATTCCCCAAATACTACCTCGCGTTCCCTTATTCGCAATATAATGTACACACAGTGCAAATCATTGGAATGTTAAGAAGTTCGTCTTTCATAGATACATATCTATATAGTTATGCAAGTAATTATCCTACTCAGAAATCGGACCCGTGCCTTCCGCCTTCCTTATTATCTTTGTCATAATGACTGATACATTCATATTACACTTAGAAGCTATTAGCAATTAGGGTTTATAATTCTCCAATTTTTTCGGGATAAAAAGTGACCGATGTCCTATTCCAGACTTATAATCTATCTCTTTGCCAAATTTCATCTAGATCCGTTTAGCCGTTCTGGCGTGATTGAGTAACAATATTAATAATATATAATTATTGTTATATTCTATTCTAAGTTATTATTTACAGCTGGGTTCATTCTGTCTGTCCAACATGGGTTTCATCTATCCAGCCTTTATAGAACTATGCCTGGACTGGAACGACCCCGGGCTAGGGATCATGAGGTGGCGGTTATGGAAGTTCGTAGTCATTTTGATTTTTGGCACCATTCTATGTATCGTCGGTACTTATAGCAATGCTAAAGAACTTATTTCGGAAGTGTTTTGATGGATTTGCCATTTTCTAACAGAATTGTTCTAATTTGAATTCTCGCAGATTTTTCAGAGATGGTGAATTTAAAATGTATACTGTTTTTTAATCTGTGACATTTGAATATGTGCAAGTCATTTTTATTGTTTTATTTTTATTGTCAATATAGTTTTACTTTGATTTACATTTTTTATTATCAATAATTATATAGGGTTTTTATTTACCTCTAGCAAAGGTACATATATATATATATATGTTACGGATGCCGATGGATTTGATATTACGTTATCGCGATTCTCGTCCGCCATGGTCAGTGTGCTCGTGCGGCACAGTCGAGTGTTCACAATAAAGTGAGTTCACTCGCACTACTGACTCACGTCATAAATTATTAGCTGTCAAACGCTATTGTCATGTACCGTCATTCAACTACCCTCAGAATCGTGTATAAAATATCAAACATGGCAACACAAGTATTTTTTATTAATTATTCTCTAACACGGCCATACTGACAGGAGGCGCGCTCTCGCGGCTCCATAATTATTATTTTAATGAAACAATAACGAGAGTTAAAGATACGACAATAGCAACACTGTATAAACTCAAAATGTTATATCACTGTATAAAATCTTATCAAAAACTATAGGCCTCGAATATCTCTCGAGTACCACCAGCGTGAAGCGTTCCAGCCTTCCAACGCCCTCGAAACTTCAGCGTGAAGCGTCACAGCATTCCAACGCCTTTAGAACCTCAGCGTGAAGCGTCACGGTCTTCCAACGCTCTTAAAACATTAGCGTGAAGCGTTACAGCATTCCAACGCCCTCAAAACCCTGCGCGAAGCGTCACAGCGTTCCAACGCATTAAAATGTTAACGTGAAGCGTCATAGCCTTCCAACGTTTTATGAACATAAACTCATATAACTTGATTTACTTAAGAGCACTATATTGATTATAAACTTGAAAAATTAACTATCAAAATATAACTAAGTATACAACACTACAATAATTTCTTACCTCATAACTAAAAAATATCAATTTAACATAATGGAATCAACGTGGATTTCAATGGTAACATTTCCTTATAAATTATAACTTAAAATTTAACAAAAATATTTTACGAACAATATTATTGCATTGATTATAAATAAATTTAAGAAACAAAACAAAGTACAATTGTAACTAATTCATGATACAATAAATAAATAATTAGCGGCTTAAAGTTAAACATACTAACAAATATTTCACACAATAAATAGTTTTAATTATTTTATTAATCATGATATAAATTTCATTTAAACAATAAACTTATTTTTCATGTAAGTAACACTTCAATCTAGTTCGTCAGATACTTCAGGTAGGCAAGCGGGATATTTACGTAGCTTTTCATGACAAACATACTGAACCCGCCCGCCTACCAATGGCTCAACTTTATACCTATCATTAGCACACACTTCTATAACTTTACACGGATTTGAAAATTTAGCACTTAGTTTTTTAATTATTCGTGGATTTTTCTCGACAAGAACTAAATCTCCAACATTAAAAGCTTGAATTTTAGATTTATTTTGATCGAAACGCTTTTTATTTATTAACGCCTGTTCGTCCATCCTGCTTTTTGCATTACTTCTTATCTCTAACAGATCTAACTTATCATATTCTTGAATTAATGAGTTTATGCGCGGGGGGCTTTTATTATAACCTATTAACATTTGAAGAGGACTCATACCAGTGCTTTTAGATACCGTACAATTTATTGCAAGTTGTATTTCACCTAAAACAGATTTCCAAGATTTACGTTCCGAATTTTCAGCTATAGTGAAACAATTAGTAATAACGGACATAAAACGCTCCACTTGCCCGTTGGCACGACTAGTGCCACTAGCTATCTCATGGAACTCGATCGACCATTCTTCACATAAATCTTGAAACTCTTTTCCAGTAAACGACGTACCCTGATCAGATATAATTCGCTTAGGCGAACCAAATAGTGAAACAAAAGATTTAAGTGCATTACATGCTGCTCTAGATGTCAAATCTTTGACAGCGGTTAAATAACAATATTTTGTAAAAGAGTGTACTATTACTATAACGTATTCTTTAGCTTCGCGACTACCTGTTAATTTACCCGTCGTATCAACATGTATAGTGTGAAAAGGTTCAGCAATCTTTTCTATTGGGTGTAATTCTGATTGTTTTTTACCACTAGGCACTTTATTAATTTTACAAGTTAGGCATCTGTCTACAAATGTTCGTACACATGAAGTCATATTAGGAAACCAAAAGTGTTCTCTCAATTTAGTTAGGGTTTTTTCCCACCCTAAGTGCTTAAGATCTTCGTGAAATCTATGTATAATCTGCCAACGAAAATTTTTAGGGACAATAGCACGAGAAAATGATTTTTTATCAACTTGAAAATTTTTATGCAATACATTATTCTTTATTGTGTAAGAAGACTTTAAGTTAGGGTCAATGGTATCGTTTTCGATCGATTCTATTATTTTACAAATGTCAGGGTCTAAATATTGCTCGGATACAAGCCAGTCATTATTAATTCGTACAACATTTACTTCTTTAATACTAGGCGGATTCCTACTAAGATAATCGACATGGGGTATTCTTTCACCCTTACGGTATTCAATCTCGAAATCAAAAGATTGCATGAATGCCCACCACCTATGTACGCGTGTCGATAAATCCCGCTTATGTCGAGATGCTTTAAGACTATTACAATCAGTGACTACTTTAAAATTTCTACCTAGAAGATAGTGACGAAAATGTTTAAAAGCTTTAAAAACAGCCAAACTTTCCAATTCGTAACTATGGTATCTAGATTCTACCTCGGTAGTCCTTTGACTATAGTATCCTACGACTCTAAGTTGTGTATCGTACTTCTGAAACAGTATCGCGCCATAGTCGATCGAGCTGGCGTCGGTGTGAAGCTCGATATCCCTACTAGGATCAAATATTGTAAGTACAGGTGCAGAAGTAAGGTATTCAATGATCGACTTATGTGCTGCGGTATGTCTGTCGGTCCATTCCCATTTACAATCTTTTCTAGTCAAGTGATACAATGGGGTCATTATTGATGAAAAGTTAGGGATAAATTTTCTAAAGTACCCCGCGAGCCCGTTAAATTGGCGTAATTCTTTTATATTCCTAGGAAGCGGTGCATTAACAAGAGCATCAATCTTTTTTGGATTAGGTTTAATAATACCATTACAGACAACGTACCCTAGATACTCAATGGATTTTTTCAAAAATTTACATTTTTTCCAGTTTAACAAAAAACCGGCGTCCGTCAACGCTTGTAAAACAGATTCTAAATTTTTAAAGGACTCTTCAATCGTTAAGGATGCTATCAATACATCGTCCATGTAGACCAAGGCTATTTTATCTTTAAGACTGCCTAAAGCTTTATTTATGGCTCTTTGGTATACAGACGGTGCATTGCACAGACCAAAGGGCATTTTTAGAAATTCCCATACACCGTCAGGGGTTATGAAAGCCGTTTTCTCTATGGAATTAGATGCAGCAGACATAGGTATCTGATAAAACCCAGAGGCCATATCGAGAGAAGTATAGAACCTAGCTTGATCTAACGAATCTATTTGTTCTTCTATAAGTGGAAGGGGATAATTATCGCGTATAGTGTTCGCATTAAGTTCCCTATAGTCAATGCAAAGGCGGTCTGAGCCGTCCTTCTTTTTCACGAGCAAAGCCGGACTCGAAAAAGGAGATGAGCTTTCTCTAATAATACCCTTTGATTCGAGATCCCCTATAATTTCTCTCATTGCAGTGCGCTCTGACGTTGCCAACCGATATGGATGTCGTTGTACTATCTTATCAGGATTTTTAAGTTTAATTACCATTTCGCCCGTTTTAACCGTAGTATTAGCGTTACCGGTAACAAAGCTACTTCTAAATTTTTCAATAATCGAGTTTAATTGCTTTATATGTATAGAATCACTTAAATCAGTATCTATTTTATTTTCATTATTCGATTCAATGACAGAACAGACGGCTATATTACATTTACGAGATAGACGAACCCCCTCACTGTTCATAATTAATTCTAGACCGGGTATTTTAAAGATATCACGACCCAATATGACGTCGTACGGAATGGTGTCAGAGTCTACAATGATGAAACTTGTTTAAACGTGAATATCGCACAAATTAATAAAAACAGTTAGCTTAGTAAAAGAATATGACGGTTGCGAGCCTATACCGGTTAATTTCGTAAAGACAAATTCACGTGTTCCTATCAAATGACGAGCTATGTTTTCACGTAATAATGAACACTCAGACCCACTATCAACTAAAGCATGAAACAAATAATCGTTAATTTTTATTTCAATTAATGATATATCGGAGGAAGAACAAACATTAACGGATTTCGTGCAATCTGAATCTATTTTAGAACCTTTAGTTTTATCCTCTTTTTGTTTAATAAAACATGTACGATCACTATGGCCTATTTTATTACAATGATTACAGCGAATGATTTTATCTGACATTGACTGAGGTATTTTTGGCAAATTGTTATTATCTTTAATCGGATTTTGATTTATTTTGTTAGTGTTACAGTTACGCCTCAAATGACCATATTTACCACAATTATAGCATACGCGATCGTTAGAATTCATAGATTTATTACTCGTATCATTTACTTTACGACGTTTACATGTATTATCTACCCGCGACTCAAAAGATCGTTTTAAATTCTTAACGCGAGGGTAGGTACACAAATGCCTGTCAAGTGCAACAAAATCTAAAGGTGTATTTTTTAATAAATCTGAACGTACCTGAACATCACTTATACCGGATATAAGTACCTCGATTTTGTTTGCTTCACTCCATCCCGTCTCAAGGCGGTCGATCATAGCCAGCTTGTGAGTAGAGTACTCGATGTAAGTAGCAGCTTTCTCGCTCGTGAACTCCACCATGTCCCGGAACAAGTCGTGGAACCTCTTCGTTGACGCGAACTGTCGAGAGAGACGCTCCTTGACATCGTCCCAGGTCTTGCACACTTGATATGATTGTGATGCCCACTTCTTAGCTCGCCCGCGTAGATTGATGAAGGCAGCATTCTTTGTTTCATAATCCGTCCAAGTAATTCTGTCGTCTATGATTATCGATTTCTTCACACCATTGTTGGGCTGTAAACTCGCTCTCGTCAGGATCGTACGGCGGAAGGAAGATCTCAGTGGGCTTCAATTTCTTCACTCGGGATGTAGATGGTTGAGCTTCTTTATGTTTAAAGTTGTTTAACATCGTTTGGAAGAATTCAGCCCACATGTTGGTATTTGAGGTTAACGGTTGATGAGTTGGCGGTTGGGGAACCTCAGTGTCTTGTCCATTGTAGGTATCACGGAAATACGGTCGGCCCTGAGTCCCTCCGAGGATGGGAGACCCATGATGAGAATCACAGGCGGATCCCACCGCTGCTGTTACGGATGCCGATGGATTTGATATTACGTTATCGCGATTCTCGTCCGCCATGGTCAGTGTGCTCGTGCGGCACAGTCGAGTGTTCACAATAAAGTGAGTTCACTCGCACTACTGACTCACGTCATAAATTATTAGCTGTCAAACGCTATTGTCATGTACCGTCATTCAACTACCCTCAGAATCGTGTATAAAATATCAAACATGGCAACACAAGTATTTTTTATTAATTATTCTCTAACATATATATATATATATATATATATATATATATATATATATATATATATATATATATATATCTACATACATACATACAGACGAACATATTATAATAATTTAGAAATATAGTAAAATTTGATACAAACATTTTGTATATTTTTATTAACAAATAATGCGTAAAATATTTGGAAGAAATTATATACTTAGATAAATTATCTTTTAAACATATTTGAACAAGCCTGCTATATTAAAATATATACTTTTAGGTAACTTTTTTTAAATGTTTTTACAATTGTTTTGCACGAGTTGTTTTTATTTTGAATGTAGCAACATTGTTTAAAAATTAAAAAAACACAATTGTAATTTTAGGGCTGTGTTTATATTTTTAGTGGTTGTTGATTATTGAATAAAATTTTGAATTTTGTTGTGTACAGCATATTTTCAATCTTAATATTGCGAAAAACTTCAATGTTCAACGTAATTATTCTCTGCTATCCGTTCATTTAGGTATAATGCATATTATATTTTATTGTATATATATATATATATACATACATATATATAACAACAATACAATATTATAAACTGTTTTATTTTTATTATACAGATAGTCTGTATAAGATCCATAATCTGACGACGCTTCAACACGACGACGCGACGGTTCAATCTTAATTATACTATGCCATGGAGAAAGGTATTGGGATTCAAAAGATTCTCTACCGGCAGATCACATCACTAGTTTGTCTGGTAGACAGAGTGTAAATCTATACATATAATAAAATTCTAACTGAGTAATACATTAAATATTTTTTGGAAAATCTTATTGAAATAGTCATTATTATCGATGCAGAGACCAAATCAATTTTTTCTATTTTAGTTTTTAGAATGTTTGTCTTTCCATCTGTCTGGGAACGCATTACGAGAAAACTATATATAAATTAATAATTTATTATGACTACCCTGGAAACTGCCTACGTATAGATCAAAGTTGAAGACGATAAAGTTAGTGCCAAAATGAAGTTACTTCTGAAAATAGCCGCCAGGGAAATCCAATCACCGCTATACTTAATTAGAACCCTCGTGTATTGATCTGAATAACCTATGTAATCAAATCAAACACTTTATTGCGAAGTTGGGTTAGTACATACATTTAGATTTTGAAAATAACATATTTAATGTTCAGCCAAATTCAGCCTTACAGCATGTATAAAAGAGTAAGAAACACTCGAGACATAGGTACTATGTTATGTTAATATATTATGTTTAGAACAATAATATACAATATTTATAAAATATAAAAGCTTTTTCGTGTTTTTAAGGCTTTTCTTGTTTTAGTCGCTCATTAAAAATCTTTCCAATTTATATTTACAAGAAAATTGTTCATGTAATATTATGCGATTATAACAAGCAACTCACCCTCGCTTCGTTTGGGTTCGTCCCTAGATTGATTCTCCATACAAACTTTCATCCCTATTTTCACGCCCTTATACAATGATTTCGGGGATAAAATCTCCTATGTCCTTACCAGGGTCTCAAACTATCTTATTACCAAATTTCATCTAAATGGGTTCAGTAGTTCCAGACATTACTTACTTCTACAAACAAACTCACAAACTTACAAACTTCACCTATTTATAATATTACAATTAGATAATTTATTGTTATATAAAACACATGCGGGAAAAGTGGGGGTTCATTGTTAGTGAACTACAAATTAATACTTTTTACTATTTAAATGTCAGCTGGCCTGAAATAAAAGGAAATATAATAATAAGAATTTTAGACGTAAAAGTGGTTTATAATTTGAATTGTTTTAATTAAAGGTTTTTTAATATGTAATAATGTTTTTACTTTGTTATTTTACATACAAGTGTTTACAGCGACGGTTCAAGTTTAAATAAAATAGAAAAAAATGGAGCGATCTACAGTTAGTATGCTATACATAATTAAATTATGTTGGGACATCAACACACAGCACCATCTATTTCCATGGTAAGCTATGAGGCTTGTGTCATGGATACCAGATAGTTGATACACTACACATCATATATAACTTTGCAGATTGAATAAGTAATTAATTTAAGGCCTTCACGTTCATAGTTCGGTGAGACGGAAGTTAATTTCTCAAGTTTCTGCTGTTGAGAATTTTTGGACAATAATCCAAATTACTATATTAACCAGAACTAAAATCCAAACCTGTTACCTATATGTATCTACATCGTAAATATTAGATAATAGTTCTAGAATCATATAGCAAAACTTTAAATTGTTTTTTTTTAAATAGAGATCATCATCAACATTCGATAGTAGAAGATCAACTCACTCCCCACATAATCGCGGTCACCATAAGTTCGAAATCAAAGCTGAAGGAGAAGCGGCTAGAAGCTATGACTTTAAAGCCGCTAGACCACCTAAAAAGACAACTAAGTATATATTTTTAAATTTGAAACCCTAATTTTAAACCTGATCTATTTGTCTGAACGTAACATTCTATGCCGTAAAAACGACTTGCAAATGGTCAGTTGTTATAATTATTGTTTTACTTTAGAATTTGTACTATTACTGTATTATACATTTATAATACAATATAATTGCACATTTATAAAATAATAGTTTAATTTCAATTTTATGTATTAATATTATTATTCTTTTAAATTAAACTTGCACCTTGTAATTAAATGTTACTGACGTCATATAAAAAAAGCATGTTGTGATAACCTATAATTAAAAGAACATTTATGAAATTGTTAGCTCATGAGTATCATACATACCGTTTTCAATGTATCTTTTGTTGGTTGTCCTTAAATAATTTTTTTTTTCTATTCTAAATCTTAACGATTGTAATAGTTTTGTTAAGTTGGTTTAATTTTTTGTTTACAGAATATTATGATATTTTGGCATTGTATGTGCCAAGTTTTTTTTTTTGATATGTCTCATTAAAAGGATACCAATTTCGAAACGAACGACGGAGTAACAATATTTTTGTTATCTTTAAATTAAGTTATAAGAATATTTAAAATGTTACAGTTTAATAGAAACTATAGGCAATTTGGCGAAAAGCTGCCTGGGTGGCGGTGTGGTAGCAATACATGAGTCATACAAAATGTGTGGCCTTTGGACCTCTTTTGTACTCACTTTTATTCTTGGTTTCTGTATAAGCTATGCTATGTATGTACGTATCAACTTTAATTTTTTTTTATAATTACTTAATTTACACCCTAAAGATAAGAAATACTAGGTATATTTTTAATTTTTCTCTTATTATTCCATGATGATGTCCGCCCGACTGATTTTGACCTCGATGGCCAATCTGACTGAGACTAGCCAACTGCACGAAATATTACAGTGCATAAGTCCACGCGTTTACACCAGTGCACTCCATATTCCTTTCACTCTCAAATTCCGATAGGATGATAATTCGACCGGTCTATTATGAAAATCCATCCTAATTCAGACTACCTTTTATATACGCATAACTTATCGTACCGAGTAAATATCTATTATGTACATTATACAGTGTACGTGAAGCCATGGGCAAAAACTAAAATATATCATTTTTTTAGATGATAGCGCATTCTGCTCAAAGAATTTATGGTAGAGTGCAAGTGCCGCAGATGAGTTACCCGGACTTAGCGGAAGCAACTTTGGAAACTGGTCCTTTTGAGTCGATGAGGAAATATAGTAAATGCTTTAGGTGACTCAGTTAGATTCTATAGACTTTATGATGTTTGTTTATAATTTATAGATATATTTGTTTGAAAAACTTGACGGTTATCTTTTAAAATTAATAATTTTAAGTTAAGTTTTCAGGTCAAAGACCATCAATTCTAGATGAATAATCTATCGTCTAGATGAAAGTTGGGGAGTCTCTTACACAGGACGCTTTATTTTAACATTTCACCCTCCCTCTATATTTTTTCTTTCAAATGCATTCACTAAAAATCCTTTCCTACCCTCCCATGATGTAAATGGGACATGGTCCTTGAAGATCATGATGATGATCTTCACTAGAACCCAAGCCCAACTGACTGACACAGACTGACTAAAATACGACACCAAAAAATTGCCCAAATTTTTCTGATTAGCTTTAAATATAAAATTGCATATTTTTATTTAATGTTTACATTTATTTCCATTATAATTTGTAGGCATCTCGTAGATTTCACAATATGTTTCAATTTGTTTGGGTCTTGCTGCGTGTACCAGATTGTGATAGCTCGTACCATCAAGCAGCTTGTTGAAGGGACCGATGAGGTTACTCTCGAAGGTAATCCGCCGTTGAGAGTATACATTGCTGTGCTCGTCATACCATGTGTACTGATTGGCATGATAACCACCTTAAAATATTTGGCACCGTTTTCGATCGTGGCTGATTTTATTATATGTAAGTTTGGTACATTTTCCTTATACTTAACTAGCCAATTATATGTTTATATTTTAGTTTTGCGTTTATTATATTAAAAATAAAGTGAATTGAATTGAATTAATTAAGAAAGTAGCCTAAAGCTCAAAAACTATTCAACAAAATATTTTAATTCTACTAAGCATTAACTATTTTCTCAGTTTTTTTAGAATTTTTCAACTTATAGGTACTTAAAAAACAGCTTATTCACACTATTTACTACACTTACTAATTGATACTAACTTGTTGTTTTACTTTTTTCTTTTACTTTTTATGTGAAGTTTCTACTCTATTGATATACAACGAAGCGGACTGACGGACATGACGAAATTATAATTGCTACTTTTTTTCATTTTAGCTGTAGAAGCCCTTTTTTTTAACGTTGGGAAATGCATTTACGCACGAGGTGTAGGACTCACCGGCAAAGCCAGTACTACCCACTAAAACCCAACAAAGCCTTCCCCCGTCTTAATGGGGCGTTGCAGGATCGCTTACGCATTCAACTACGACGCCCCGACGGCAGGTCTGCCGAAGCAGACCACAACAACCACGGGGTTGCTCCAAAGTCCACTCTGCTATCAGAGAAGTACCAGGAGCAACCCGCATGGTACACCGCGCCCTCCGAAGAGGGCCACTTCCCACCGCCCACCGAAGTGGGCCACCTCCCTGTGCGTTTCTTGGCTTCGCGCCCGGCTGGATTGCCGGGCACTACTGAGCCCCCCCACCACGACAAGGTGAACGCACGTTGGGGGGGTAGCTGTATAACCCCTGAAAATCTAGACATTTTTGAGTTACAAAGGTCTGTATCAAAATAATTATATTATTATTATGTAAATTTTCAGTTACGGTGGCGTGTGCAACAGTGTACTATGCAGTTAAATTGGCAGACGTTAGTTCTTTAGATAGGCCAGTATTCAAAACTGTGGCCGGTCTATTTGAATTTATGGGAGTCTGTACATTTAGTATGGAAGGTATAGGGGCTGTTATGGCAATCGAAAATAATATGGAGGAACCTAAGAATATGGGGCTTGCATTATTTGGAGGTAATTGTATAGTATGGTAACTTAGTAAATGATTCCAATAATTGACTGAATTTTGTGATAAACTACTTACCTAAATGTATACTAAAAGTTTGTGAGTTTGTGACGTTGTAGGGGGTAATCTCAGGAGTCAGAATCTACTGAACCGATTAAGATGAGATTTGGTAAGAAGATAGTTTGAGACCCAGGGAAGGACATAAGATACTTTTTATCCCGGACTACATCCCTTAAGAGGGTGAAAATGGGGATGAAATTTCGTATTGTGAAGCAAGCTAGGGACGAAACCGAGCGAAGCGAGGGTGAGTCTCTAGTAATATTATAAAGAGGTATAATCTGTAAATTTGTATGTAGGGATTTCTGAAACAACTAATCCAATTCTAAAAATTAAACTGCCAATAGGAAGGACGCTATATTACTGCTGAATGCTATAGGCTATTTTTATTAAGGCAAAAGCGTGTTTAGTATCAGAAATCACAATAACTTTAATTGAAGTCGGATAAAATACTGTTTCGGCTATTTTTAGGCAACTAGAGACCTACCAAAGCGAAGCGAGGGTAAGTCGCTAGTCTATACTAATATTATAAAGAGACAGAGTTTATTTGTTTGTTTGTTTGAACGCGTTAATCTTAGGAACTACTAATCCGAATTGAATTTTTTTTTTTGAATTAGATAGCCCGTTTATTGAGGAAGGCTATATATGATCACGCTACTACCCAAGGGAGTGGAACAGTATTCATAAATGTCAACAAATCGGGCAGACTTCCATATATTATTTTTAACAGCATAAAGCCAAACACTTTTTTTATAGTAAACCTACAAGCGCGAGCGAAGCCGCGGATTCTACTAGTATCTTATAGAAGTAAAATTAGAACCCAGGCAGAGATATACCACAAGCATCTTTTAATGTGGAAATATTAAGAATATTTATATTTTTTGATTTTTTTTGCTCATTAGGTACTTATAGTATCCCATAGTGGTTTAATTTTAAAATATTTTTCAGGCATGTCAATTGTTGTTAGCATTGTAGTTACAGTCGGATTCTTTGGATATTGGGGTTTTGGGGAAGGCGCTAGATCTCCTGTAACGTTAAATTTTCCTTTAGAGCCGTTAGTATTGAATGAATTTAAATTTCAACCATTTTTTAAATTGTATTTTTTGATAGAATTTTCTTAGCTGAACCTTTCAACCCTTGCTATATATCAAGGTTATAACAAATTTCACCATTAAAGTCAATTTAAAAGTTATAAGTAAGAGATCCTGATCTATGTGGTGGGTGGAAATTTATTTTTTTAACAATAAAATATATTAAAAAACACGATCCAGGGGGGTTGTCACCAACACTTTGCTCCAGACTATTTATAATTAAAAAACCTCTAGTATAGACATGTTTTGGTGTAACAACCCTATATCATTAGTTATAAAATTATATTTTGTATCCTCGTTCTAGTCCGTATGTTTGTTGAATAACTTTTGATATTCGAATCCTCACTTTCCCAATAATAATTTTATCCCCAACCTAACACAATAAAATATAAAAAATGCATTTTAAATATTCAAATTCTGCATTTCAGATTTCCTATAGCTCTCAAAGTACTACTAGGAGTAATGATATACGTCACATTCGCCCTAAACTTTTGGTTCCCTTTCGATTTAATGTGGCATTACATACAAAAAGGATATGATCCATCCAAATATTGGCTTTGGGAAAGAGTGTACAGAGCAATTTTTATATGTGGTATCACAACCATAGCTGTTACATTTCCAAATGTATCTAAATTTATTGGAGTGGTAAGTTGTTTTCGATGACTTGCATTGTTTCATATGAATTCTTTTCTTTTTGTTTCTTTTTTATTAACAGCTTCACGTTATTCTCAGGATTTAAATCGTAAAGAGGTCTAAGTGGTGACCTCTTTATAGTTCAAATGTTTGTGTCAATCTATACATTTAATAAAATTTTAACTAAGCCGAATCGGTACATTAAATACTTTTTGGGAAATCTTATTGAAAAAAACATTATTATCGGTACAAAGGCCGAATCTATAGTTTTTAGAATTTTCGTCTGTCTGTCTGTCAGTCTGTTACCGCATCACAGAAAAATATGTTTACGTATAGATTGCAAAGAATGATTAATTAAAGAGAGTAGTACCATAGAATACTATTTTCTACGTTACATGAAACAATTCATCTAAGTCCAAAAATATATGTATGTATTGCAAATACTCTTTTGTCAACAGCTAGGTTCTTTTTGTATATCCAACATGGGTTTCATCTACCCAGCGTTCATCGAACTATGCTTGGACTGGACGGACCCAGGGCTCGGCTTCATGAAGTGGAGGTTCTGGAGGTTTCTCATGATCATAGCCTTCGGCCTTACTCTATGCATAGTTGGTACTGTTACTAATGTTAGAGGACTTATTCATGAATCGTTTTGAACATATAAATGATCATATTGAAAATTGTCTTCCATATCTGAGGTTTATGAAATAAAAAGCGAAGTTTTTAAGTCATTTTTGGAAATGGTGCATTTTATTGCTGGAAACGCCGTTGTTAATTTTAGAGAACGTTCAAAAAATAATCAATTTCAAATAGTAAAAAATAGGAGGAGCTTTTTTGTATATTTTATAATTATTTAAAAAAAAAACACTATAACATTATTAAAAAGTCATTGTAAACTTTTAATTTTAAGGTAATTTATTGCTATGGCAGCTTAATTTTACGTTTTTCTTTTTTTTTAACTAAAAACTTGAAAAAAAAAACAAAAAAAAAAACAAAACTAAAAACTTTCTATCCGACCGGGATTCGAACCCATCTGGACACCTGTGAATGTCTATCTTGCGCCTTGGCCGCTTGATCCAGATGCTGATGACCGAGCGTGCGATTATCAATCATATTTTTCGTGGATAATGTGAAAGAAAATCTCTGAAAACTCGAAAACACGCGTTTTCTAAGACATAAGACTAATCTATATTGATTCTTCGCCCCCGAAAACCCCCACGTACCAAATTTCAGCGAAATCGTTAGAGCGTTTCCGAGATCGCCGGTATAGATTTATTTACATATTTAAATAAATACACAACAATTGCCCATTTAAATATAAAAAAGTTATTTTAATGTACATTTTGAAGACATGTGGTCGGATTGAAGCTGCACCACGCCGGCCAAATCGGCTGGACGTTTATACCACGACGGAGCATACGGGACCTGGTAATACATTAAATCAATAAAACTAATGATATTTTATCATTTTCTGACTTGACCTATAAAAAAATTATTATTAATCTTACAATAATTGGTGAACACATCACCAAGAGCATCTACGGCTTTAGATTTTAGGTCCTGGTTTCGATTCCTGGGTGTAGCCAATTGGATTTTTCTGTTAAGAAATTCTCAGTAGTAACACGAATTTGGGAAGTTGGTGGTGGTTGGTGGCACTCCCATGCTTCAGAGATTACGTAAAGCATCATCCTATGCTTGATGTCTCGTCAGTGGAATTACCGTCCAACAAACTTAAAAAGTTAAAGAATATAGAGTACACTCATATTTGCGTGCACAATAATCTCTATGAAAACTTGGCTTTGAGGACATTCAAAATATTTTATTCAGCATTAAATTATTACAATTCTTTACTGAACGTCATGTCTACTACCTATAGATAAAGTTCAAAAGCAAAATTTAAATAGGAAATTTGATGCAAATCGTTAGAGCCGTTTCCGAGATACACGAAATCCATACAAACGTTATGAATGTGAAAGTGTGTTTGTTTGTCCTTCTTTCATGTCGAAACAGAGTTCCGGATTGGCGAGATTTTTTGCGTGGAGATAGTTGGAGTACTGGAGAGTGACATAGGCTACTTTACCGTGGGACCTTATCTAATTCCCACGGGAAAACACGTTATAATACAATCCGCAATGACTCATCATACCTAAAACCTATGCATATATATGTATAATATATAGTCTATCTATTCCATACTAACCGTTAAAACGTATCTATAGACGAACCCGAGCGAGGCGAGGGTGAGCCGCTGGTAAAATATATCTCTACACTACAAGAACTACTCATTTAATATTATTAGATAACATACCTATGCGCATCCAAACGTACATAAACCGATTTATCAACACTCGTATTAGCGAATATGTCGGACCACAGTCGCTCTGCTACCGTCGCGGCTCGAGGCCACACGTGGTAGTCTAAATTACCTGTAATAATTTATTTAAACGTTTAAAAACATGGCAAATTGTCATTACTTTAGCTGTAATAACAATTTTGGCATGTTTCTAAACGTTTTTCATTTCAATTAACTTTGTTTACTTGATTTGTTTTTTTTTTGTCCGATTGTCGTTGGAAAGGGAGGTTATCTGTTCGATCTAAAAATTACGTTACGAACGAGGATAATTATAAATTAGTGAACGGATTTTGATGATCTGTGTCGATTTTTATTTCACCAAATAATAAAGTTAATAAAATTATAGATGAAAAAATGTAAAGTTTAAGCAATGAATTCACCGGAAATATAATTTATACGCTTTATGAGTGTTATTTGAAAATCATTTCTTTATTAACATAGAACTTTATCAAACTTAACATCTTTGATAAAACTCAGTTAAATATGCGTTAATACAGTTCTCCTAATACTGCAACAGAGGCTACCTACCATATATCTATCTGTGTCGACCACAACCTATTGCTTAATATTGATGATTGTTCTATATCGTAATATATGTTTTTATATGTAATTGTTTACTGTGTATGTGTTGTTTTAATCAATAAATTCAATTATTGTTTAAAAAAACAATTATTATTAAATAAGTCAGATCACTTCGAAAAAAAAAAACAAAGTTTTAAAATTCATTATAAATTATGAACAAAACTAAATAAAGCTGTAAATAATAGTTTAAGTTTAAAACGTTAACTTATAGAAGGACTAACTAGAATCGACTAAGTCCGTCCAAAGTATAGCTTCTCCTCCCTCTATGGTTAAAGCTTCTATATTTCGCCAAGATATCCATGAATACATTTGTCGCCAAGTTCTAGCAAAGACAGTATATTAAGTTTTTAGTGATATAATATATTCAGCGTCTTGCATGTGTACTTTTGGTCTAAATAAAAAATAAGTTTGATCTAATTCAATTTTAAATGTTTTGAAACCCTACTAGTATACGAAAATTTGATTTGACTGACTCAAATCATAATATTATTATAAACTATTAAATTAGACAAAGTGGCAACGCGGTCCCTTAAGAAACCGAGTGAAGCGGGTTCAAATTTCGAGTCGGGAATAATGTTGTAAAACATTATTACAACTTGTTTTATGGTGGAGAAAAGTGTCTCAACATTGGGACGCTATATAAAATTATTGTATTTATTCCATATACCAAACATTTACTCAAAGTATATTCAGTATAACTTTATTAGTGGCCAACCTGATTTACCTGCTTCCTTTGCTCTTGCGTATCTCTTAGTACCTAATAACAATGTCTGTGTGTTGTGTCCAGTCGATTTCACGCTAAAGTGTAACAAACATACTCACATCCATACAAACTTTCGCATTTAAATTAGCAGCCCTTTGTCTATTAAGCTTACCTATATTTGGTACACCTTTGATTTCTTATCTCACAAGATAAATCCCATTTCGTTGAATGTATAACTTTGAATTTGCTTAAATTTGGATTTGTTAAATCTTTGTATTGCACTCCAAATCTTGGCCACGTCTCATCAAAGTATCTTATTATATTAGCCTCGTACCAAATAATAGGTAACTTTGGCAAGAACCCTTTATTTGCCATCTTTAAATATTCTAACGCTTTGTCAAAATAATCTATATCTGTCATTTCATAACAGTTAATCAGCGGAAACATGTTCTGACCCAAATGAAATATATCATCGACTTTGGTTATTTCTATTATTAACGAATACATTCTTTGAAGAACATTAAATATGTCTTGTATAGACACTGGGTTAGATGTCAGATTATTTTTTGGACAAGTCAATTCATTGATCCAAGCCCAAGGTGACCCTATAATACCCGGAACAGCAATTTCAATCAAAACACGAATTCCTCGAACCCCCGCTCTTTTGACTGTATAACTTATATCCTTCTTTGAATATACCATTGATTTATCACATGGCCCATATTGAAAAACAGCATTATTTTCAATGGGAAAACTAGTCATGTCTATTCTCCAGTGAAGAGTATTCAATTTACATGTAGACATGGCGTCTATTGTTCGTACTAGATCAATAACTGGTATATAATTATGTACAGTATCAATCATCAATCCTCTATACTTATACGTAGGATTATCGTTTATAAGTATGTTTGATAATGTTATTAAATATCCTGTACTTTGATCAATTAAAAGCAATTGGGTCAAAGTTTCAAGCCCATGACGTGTTCCACAAAAAGAAACTGAGCTAATTTTGATGAAAATGTCATCATTTACTGAATCTATTCTCAAAATATACGACTCATCTGTATTTAGTCTTAATCTGGCATCAGGATCGCCTTCTATATCGATTTGTACAATCATTCTCTTCACAGATAAATCTTGCTTTTGACGGTTTATTGAATTATTTCTTTCCATTTTAGCCAAATCTTTTACAAACAATTTAAAAGCTTCAGCTAGATATTGCCTTACTTCTTCTGATGGGACAGATTTAAATTTATATTCCATCTTTTTTGTTGACAATGTTACAATAGTTTTACTAAAATAGGTATAGCCTATTGGATAAGGCCAGAGCTGAGGGCCCGTACACAAAAGTGTACATTGACTTTGAGAATTATATGTACTTATATTTGTGGCTGGATTTGTAACTCTGTGACATAAATTGTTTTTACACTGCCAAATCCAATGCAGAATATCTTGACTAAAAATAAAATTAAAGAAATAGCTATGAACTACTGTTACACACTGATGAAAAGTCAATAAGATTGATTAATTATAAAAAAAAAGAACACCTTCTCTCAATCCTTTTTTCAGCGTTTGAAACACGCAAGTTATATTTCTTTACCCAAAGTGGCATAGTTGATAAAAATATTATTGATGCCAATAATAATATCGAACCTATTATAGTATAATAAACCCAATTATGTCTCTTAGATCTATAAAAAAAGTCAAAACAATATTTAAAAAAATGATAAGCTGAATAGATAATAAGTGTAAACAAAAAAGATACGTACATTGACATAAAAACCATTTAAAGTTATTCCACAATTGGATTCTATTTAAAATGTGTATGAAATCATCTATAATTAAAAATCGGCGAAAATATCGATAAAATAGACGATTCGCATATATTCCCTTTTTGAAATTAATTCAAAAGAAGCCAAATAAAGGCTATCATTATAAAGACATTAATAATTTTTAAATAAAACTATCTTTTCGGATTTTGTCGCGGATTTGTTTGCATTTTTGTTTCCCGACGTTTCGAAAGCTTTACAGCATCCATGGTCACGAGAGAGACTGAGGTGTTACATGTCTTGAAGCTATAGTTGTTACAGACAGCCTACCCACAATTAACAAAATGAAAATTGGTGCAATTTTCATCAACAAATCCGCGACAAAATCCGAAAAGATAGTTTTATTTAAAATGTCAAATATTCGCGTAAATCTAAGAAAGGACATTAATAATATTACATACAAAGTGATCTTCTAGAAGAAATGAATTGTTGTAATAAAAAAATCACCTGTCCTTTATACCCTTTTTGTTCCACGTCATTTTAGTAATTATTCGTCTAAATATACTACTTTTCTTATCATCGCACATCTTCTTAGTACACCCAGGGTCTCCGCAGCAGGGACCAGTTGGACTGCACCTTGTACATGCGCAGTCAGGTTGACAGAAATGACTTGAAGATTCTATGAAATTTAAAGATTGGTGTTGTATTTGATGGGATTGTGCATAAATGTTAGGGTTGATCATTGGTTCGATCCCTGTATACAAATGTTTATGTTGTATATACAGATATACTAATTAATGAAATTAAAGCCTTTTTCGAAATAAAATGAGACTTGAGGAAACTCGTATCAAATATACATATATTCTAATATTTAAAGCTGTACTTTCGGAACAGTATATAAATAGCGAAGATGGTAACCTTTTTACAAAATATTCAATTTACAGAGTATATTATAAAATCTGTCATTCTTGTATACTTGATTGAAAGATTTCAAGATAACCCCGAGATCAAAAATCCTCACCAATATCTTGAAATAAAACTAAATAGAATACTTTTAAGAGATATATTTTCTAAACCACCGATTAGGCTTAGTGCGGATTATGTTATTTAGAGATATGTTATCTAATGAATAAGCTCGTCGCTAAATCGCCAACTATTTGACAATAACGTGGCGTAAAATCACAGGTTCAGATTCCGATTGAGGCAAGTATTGATATTATTTAAGTTCTTAAAGTTAAAGACCTCCATCACAACGCACTCTATTGTGGCATATCTAACTGTACACTTAAATAAAGATTAAATACGAGATAATACGTACTCTCTTGATAAAAGTCTTCCGATCTTTCTTTCACTGTATTTTTTCTTAACATATCTTTTTCAGGACAAACAGATTGATTCATCATGAGGTAAGCATTTAAACAGGAATCATCAGAAAAATCTAAGGATCTAGAAGTTTCGTCAACAACAGATGGCAAAACGGTTATAGACGATTTGAACTGTATTTTCGCCTGAATTGTATTGCTTTTTAGTTTCGATAAAGAGTCCACTAAAATATCAGATTTTGATAAATCTGAGTTAGTTTCATTTAGTTTTTGTTCCAAATTTACTTTCTCTTGGTGTATAGATGTATAAGCGCCTGAAATAGTAAAATTTACATTTGTAACGGAACGCTTAAAATTAAAAGTAAATACTAAAAGTAATTATAAAAAAGTAATATTAAATTAAAATATAAACCAATTAAAAAACCGTTCAAATGCGAGTCGGACTCGCGCACGAAGGTTTTCGTATCATAATCGATATATATTTTTTAATTCGCCATCTTGGTTTTTTATTACGTATTTGTTGTTATAGTGACAATAGCACATACTCTCTTAAAATTTCAACTCTCTACCTATTACAGTTCATAGGATACAGCCCGCTGACAGACAGACGGGTGGAGAGCGGAGGAATAGTAATAGGGTCTTGGCACTCATGGTTACGGAACCCTAAAAATGAATATAAAAAAAAATTATAATGAATAAAATATCATCAGAGACGATGATGACCAATAACCATGCAATAGTTCCCAACGTGACTTGACTTGATTGGACTTAACTAGACCTGACTTTACTACCAAAACTCCACCCTAACAGCTTGCACGAAGGAATTATTTTTAGTGAACCAACAGTTAGTTAACTATGTATGGCTTTTGTACGGTATTGGCTCCTACACTACTAAACCGATGTAGATGAAATATGGTAAGGAAATGGTTTAAGTCCCTGGGAAAGACATAGGATAGTTTTTATCCTGGAAATCATCCCTTGAGGTGGTGAAAATGGGGATGAAAGTTTGCTGGGGAATCAAGCTATCGCTAGTTTTTTATAAATATAAATGAATGTTCGTATGTTTGTCCTCTATGCGTTCCTAAAGTTAAGAATTATCCTAGATAATTCTAATAAAGAAGTTTATACATAATATGCTTGTGAATATATCATATTTGGGGAACATTTAAAAATGGAGTTAGTACTGCGTACATTCTGTCGAAAGAGAAAATGATAGAATAATGGTCTTTGGTTAACTTACCTTCAATGGCCGCCTTAACATTGTTGATTGTTACTTCCATAGTTGATAATATCTCACAAAATTTTATTATCATAATCTGCTCTGTTTCGCTGATGTTGGTACTAATGTCAGAATAAACTTGCCCTTTTGTGTTGGTACAGCAATAGTATAGTAATACAGATGTCAGTATGTAAAATTTTTGATTACCCTCATCTAAAATGCTATAAAGGCAATTTTATTATAAAAATTAAAATGGCGGCATTTAGGTAATAATCATCGTGCATTGTCTCGGAAACCAAACTAGTGGGAAAATTTCAACTCAATCGGATACTGGGAAGTGGGTCAAATTTAACTTGCAAGATTCCACACACTGGGACAGTTGAAATTAAATAAAACCTTGTAAAAAAGCCAAAAATAATACTTTCTTAGATTTACGCGAATATTTGACATTATTTTGTTAATTGTGGGTAGGCTGTCTGTAACAACTATACCTTCAAGACATGTAACACCTCAGTCTCTCTCGTGACCATGGATGCTGTAAAGCATTCGAAACGTCGGGAAACAAAAATGCAAATAAATCCGCGACAAAATCCGAAAAGATAGTTTTATTTAAAAAGCCAAAAATAAGTTGACAAAGTAACATATTATATTAAAATCTTATTTACTCGTTTAGGGACTGATTTTTAGAATACAGTATGAAGATCTTCTACAAGTCCATTTCAGTTGTAACAGCGACGAATCAATAACTTTATAGAGAACAAAAGAAAATATGAATAAAAGGATATTTATGTTGTCGTTTAAGACAAAAGTAATTAATTAAATTAAAGTACCTATATATTATAGAGTTCAAAAATAAAGGCAAAAAAACAACTTTGAAACTCAAGTAAGCGCTAAATGAAAAATTATAAAATATAAGTTTTAATATGGTTCAGTGGGTTTAGGCTACTTTTGCGCTGACGGTCTCATTTTAATGGTTATGAATATATGATAGCTCGTATGAACACGCAGTATAATAAATTCTTACCTTAGCCGTAATATAGGAAATTTGTATTTGATAAATCCATCCAAATTAGAAGCAAGCAAAGCTTTATCAAAATCATCACAGCAAACATCATCTTTGTATTTATTTACAATATACTCTAAGCTGTTTATGTCCAATGGCTCCTCGTTACCGATTACACAGTTATTTAACTAGAAGCAAGAAAAGAACAGGTGAATTTTATTATCTTTACTAATGACTTTAGATGTCCTTCGCACCAGCTACATATAGACCTCCTAAATAGATCTCTATTAAAAAAGGCTGTATATTACATTTTGCTATTTATTTCATTGAGGCGCTAAGTTCATACATTTTTATTACATATATAGAAGTTCTCCTTCCTATATTTTGATCAATAATTAGTACTATTGATCGAAGTTTCTATACGTATCAAATATATATTAAGTTATTATATAATTATATATAACTTTAGCAATAAAACCAAGTATTTTAGACACTCAGTTCGAATACCGAAACAAATTTCCATTCAAATTTAAAAAAAAGCTAAGCATTAACAGATTTCTTTAAGAGAAGATATTGCTTGGATAAAAATAACCTACCTCTACACGTAAAGTGGAGATATTTCTTTCTTGTCTACCCCACGGTGTGGGGTGTCGTTGGATAGGTCTTTCAAAAATATTGCGGGTATGTGAAAACAATTTTTCGATTAAGCGATCGATTTGAGAAATATTAAGCTTTAAAGTACAAATTTTTGTTAGAGTCAATCGAGTGTTTACTTGTTTGTGGGCTTTACAAGTTAACAAGTAATAGTTAACCAACTTATAAAATGTACTTGTAACTATGATCCACCGAAACCGTTAACATTAAATGTTCATAGTATGAAACAACAAAAAACCCTCTTCTTAGTCGCATTATTGTAATGGGCAACTACAGAACCCTAGCGAGTGGCCTGACACGCACTTGGCCGGTTTTATTATAACTTACATATGCTGCTGTCCATATTTAATTATTTTTATTTCATCATACATTGCTTTTCGTAGTTTTAGATTATTTATAGATTCTCTATAGTGATAATTCTAGCGAAGGCTATCGAATGTAGAATTAACAGTTACTTACCCAGTTTAATAATATTTCAGCCCAAATCGTTTCAATAATTTCAATTCTACAATCAGAGCATGATTCCTCATCCGCCATTACAACAAAATATGTGCTTAGACAATATTTTACAATTTATTTTTTATTGTTTTTGAATCTGTTAAAAATGGCAGTTATTGAAATGTGAAATATAGATTAAAAATATAAAACCAGATTTTTATTACAGATAAAACATAACTTCTAATAGGCCCTTATAATGAGAGAAATAAAGTTGAAAAATTACTTACGCGAAAAGACAATTCAAATAAAACTATATTTTCTCGGATATTTTTTTTGTTGTCTTATTGTTATTTTAATTTTTTACCATATTACACACATCATCATCAATGGGGTGAAAAAATAAATTTTGTACGCGAATATATTTTTAGGCAAATGCCACTTCTCTATGATAGCAGAGTGTAGACTGTTGGAGTAACCCCATGGTTGTTTTGGCCTGCTATGGCAGAGTTGAGTGCGTAAGCGATCCTGCGACACCACATTAAAACGGAGGAGGTTTTGTTGGATTTTAGTGGGTAGTACTGGCTTTTCTAGCTGGTGAGTCCGACATAACCAAATATCGTATGCGTAAAATCCATCCCAATACAAAAAAATGATAACACAGTTTTCAACAACAACCCAAGTGGTAATAATCTCACGTGCCCAACCCCAATTGTGGGACATTAAAATATTGGACTGTATGAGATACTATCTCTTATCATAAATTATCTTCCATAGATAGACATCTAATACGCGCTTTTTAAGTTAAACAACCACAAAGTATCTCGATTAAAAACCGCAAATCAAAGTTTATAATTTGCTCTAACCCAATTGTACTTAAATATTACACAGAATCGTTGTGGCTTAGATAATATTTTCATATGCTTCATAATATATCGTAAATACATAATAACAAACCATCAACCACATACTAACGTATTTATATCTCGCAGAAAATATTTTATTTTTATTTTAAACTAATTGACCTGATACAACAAGACTTAAAGAGATCTGAGAAGTTTCGAAATTTCATTTTTATTTATGATTTTTGAAGTCAAGCAAAACTTGTATAGAAAAAAACACTTTCGGTTATATATAAAACTAGCAGTATCCGCGGCTTCGCCCGCGTTCAATATTCTTCCTATATAAACATCAGATTTACAATGTATGGAAGTCTGCCTGATTTGTAGACATTCATAATTACTCTTCCGCTCCCTTGGGTAGTAGCATAATGATATATAGCCTATAGCTATCTTCAATAACGGGCTATCTATTCCCAAAAATAACTCTAATCGGTTGTTTAAAAACTTACTAGTTCCTAAGATTAGCGCGTTCAAATAAACAAAATTTGTCTCTTTACAATATTAGTATAGATATCCTAATCTCATTTTTTTTCCTTGTTTGAACTATTGTAATATTATCCCAATCGGTCCAGCCGCTCTCAAGTGTTGCGCTCACCAACATTTTTTCTTACAACCATTAACATAAAAAAATATTACGGTTAAAGCAAATATTTTGACCAATTTTGAAACGTCTCTTCCGATACCCCCTTGCTCAATTCGAGTGTACGTTTTATTTCTATATGTAATTGTGAACCTATTTTGATCATTTTACTTTTAATGTACAGATAACATCAAGACATAAAAATCTACCGCTAAGAGCAGAAAATCTACGACTAAAATTTTTATGTCATCATTTTTTAAATATTTAAGATATACCGTCAATAAAAACAGTTAAAAGTAATTTTAAATTCCAAATTAAAGGTTAAATATTTGTTCGATTACACTATTTTAATAGCCATTCCTTGAGGAAGCTATCACAGACTCGAAATGTAGTTTTATGGGTGAATCGGTAAGAAACTCAAATGAAACCCTATTAATATTGAGTTAGAGCTTATAATACAATAATTAGTACGACATTATCGTCTTTTATACATGTAATAAAATTGTAACTGTTCACTGTCCGTCTGTACATGAAAAATATTTGAAAAACACTATTATTGAGGGTCTTTATTAACGCAATAGAACCCGAAACAATGATTTATAGAATTTTTATCTTTTTGTCTGTGCGTGTGTGTGCGCTAAACTCAAAAACGGCTTAACCGATTTGGGTGCGGCTTTTACTAATATATTATGTTAAGCTTCACTTAACATTTAGTACTTGTTTTATTTCAATCGGTTTATAAATAAAAAAGTTATATCTCAACTTAAAGAATCACCTAGGGACGAGCCTGAGTGAAGCGAGGCGCTAATAACAATAAAATTATACGTATATAAACTTCACAAATATCAGAAACAAAAGCTTGTTAATTGTTAAATTAACTTGTTACCAATTATATTTTAACTGTTTTATATCATTTTGGAAAATAACTTAATTATTAATATTAACATAATTGTATCAATTCAGAGAAGTAATGGCATTTTAACGACGCTTTAATTCGTCTGAGTTACATTTGAACATGTAATATAGTTTGAACATAATCGTATTACTTTAAATTGCCAAATTAATTGAGAATATTGCGCAATATCATAATTTTTTTCTTATTTTTTAACCTCAGAAATAGTGATGTCTGTTGTAGGACTTTAAATTATATTAAATAAGAATTGATGCCAAAAAGACTAACCCTTCATCATCATCTCCCTTTTTTTTTTTTTTTATGTCGGGAAATGCATTTACGCATACCACCTGATCCCCCAGGTGGTGATGTGGGGCTCACCGGCTAGAAGAGCCGGTACTACCCACTAAAACCCGACATTCCCCTCCCCTCCGCCTTAATGGGACGCCGCAGGATCGCTTGCGCATAACTACTACAGCGCCCCGGCGGCAGGTCTGCCTAAATAGGCAGACCACCAAACCAATGGGGCTGCTCCACAGTCAACTCTGCTACGCCAGAGAGGTACCCGGAGCAGCCCCATTAAACCCAACCACCGCCCACCGAAGTGGGCCACCTCCAATCGACTGCAGAGGACAGGGAGAGCGGCAACGAAACACCGACACTCCTCTTCCCCTGCAGCCCCACCGCGTCCGCCATCAAACGGTGGCGGCCCCGTCTAGGCCGCGGAAGGTAGGGAGAACGGCGCACCGAAATACCGGCACTCCTCTCCCGCCGCGGCCTACCCCTCCGCCGGATGCGGGCCTGCGACCACAGTCCCGCAACCGGCACCCATCATCCGGTTGTGGGACCAAGCGGTCCCACCACCGGTGGCCGCAACGTCTTCGGCTCGAGGCCTAGACGAGCGGCCCCATCCAAGCCATTTGGTCCGCGCCGGATTTCTCCGGTACCACCCGCCGCCCTAAGCGGGTGGCATTCCCCTATCCGCCACCTGGGGACGCGCCCGGTAGGAGTTGGCTTCTCCCCCGGGATCATCATCTCCCTGTCCATTTCCTAAATAACTGGAGTCGGCGCAGTAAGTTTTCCTCTTCCACTCTCCCCTATTACTCGTCATCTCATCATTCACCACTTTCTGTTTCATGTCCTAACCCTTGAATTAATAACTATTTTCATTTCTATAGGTTTGCTGGCTAACAGGTATGGGTGCAGATACAGCGGTCTTGGGTTCGAATACAGGATCGAGCCAAGTTTAGTTATTGAATTTTTCTATCAAGGAATTATTATCATTTTCTGTATACATCTGTTTTCTGTATGTCTGTCTGTTTGGGTGTGTGCGTTTCAAGAAAAAAGTACTGAACCGATTTCAACTAAATTTTGTGTACTGATAACATATTACTCGGGTAAGGCTATTTAAGATATCTTTTACTGCAGGAAAATAAAAGAAAAGGGAGAGGAGATAGAGGAGCGAAGGGAAAAAATATATATAATAAATGCGAAAATATGTTGGTTTTTACTTTGACCTACGGAATTTTTGCATTCAGATAGTTTATTGACCAAAAAGTGGCGAGTTCTCTTTTTATCTTGATACTTCGAGCGAAATCTGTGTAAGATGTGTGTTGTCGTGGTTGGAGGGCTTATAGAAACTCTTAAACTCCTACCCCTAAAAATATTTTTTTTAACCTTATATACCTTTATTTTAAACCCTTGAACTTAAAAATCGTTGGGATTTAAAAAATACGTTTCTAGTACAGTAGATTAAGTTTTTTTGCATATAGAAACTTCTATACCTGAAAATCGATTATTTTACATTAGAAAACAAAAGTGGTAAATATACATATGTATATATTTTTTATTCATTCGATTATTATCGGACCAATAGCAACAGCCTCCTTTATTTATTATTCGTCCTATTAAAGTGCGAATAATTATTTTTATTTGTCCTTATTTTAACAATAGCCTTTTACGTATATAATCATTTTTCTTATAAAAATAGCTTTCATCGTAATTTGTATACATTTTCCAAAGGATTTTTTAAGCATTTACGTAATACAAAATATCAATTATTTCTTAGAATGGATTTAGATTCGTTTGAAGATACTTAACAGGTATACAATTATAAAACTATATCAAAATCTACGCCTATTTCTAACACTTCTCTTGCAGAAGGCCAAAACCTTAACCGAGGTCTGACATTATATAACCATGCCAGTAACATTCAACTCTGGCTTGTAACTATTACAATCACTTTTTGTGTATTGTTTATTTTCCACGGTCAATTACATAATAATAAATATAAGATATATTACTTAGAGGTCAAATAATGTTTTAGATTCAAGGTTATCAATACTTGATAAGTGTCTAGGCGAAAAATTTCACCCTTCCTTCCTTATGTATTTAAAATACCATTTTATTACATTTTCACGATTCATATAATATACGTTATTTATACAAGTTACTGCCTGTGGCTTCGCGTAAGAGATAGAATGAAAAGGTACTAACAAAACAAATATATTACTAATCAGTTACTCACAAACTTTCGCAATCATAATATTAGTGTGATTTATTTTTTTTAAGTCGGGAAATGTATTTACGAATACCACCTGTACAAGAGATAGTTATATGGTGTCTCACTACACTACACTACGCTAGAAGAGTTAGTACAAACCACTTAAGCAAAACAGAACCTTCCCCATCTCAAATGGGGCGCAATGGGGTTACTTATTGCTAACCA